ATCGCCGAGCTGCGCCCTGCCGCGCCGCGCCGGCGCGGGGCTCTGCGGGAGATGCTGAGGAGGGGGCTGTGGCTTTGCGGGGCACTGACCGCTGCTGCCAGGCTTGGATCCAGGCTGGACGGAGCCCAGGTGCTGGTTGGTCTTGACGATCTGGGCCTGCTTGCTGGGCTGCAGGATGAAGCCCGGCTCTCTCAGGTACTTACTGCCCGTTCTGCCAGGAGGGGACACGGACCGAGCCGCCGGCTGAGCGCCCTCCTGGAGGCTCCGGCTGTGTGATGCAGCAGCCAAGGAACGCTGCAGCCTTTGCGGAGAAGAAACGGGTTCAGCAGAGTGTGGCAGTTCATCCTCCCTGTCCTGAAGATTAAAACGATCATTCACGCCTTGGGTGACGCCCTCCTCCTCATTATCGGAGTTGTTGACCTGCTGCAGTAGCTGTGGAGACTGACGCTTCTGCTGCTGTGTTCTCTGGAACTGTTTGCATTCCTCTTCCACTCGAGCCAGGAGACGTTTTATCTCTTGATTGCTGGGACAGAGCTGTGTGGCTTCACGTAAGTCAGCAAGCGCAGCAAGTAGCTTTCTGTTTAGGGCAGGGAAAAAGAGTAAACAATAAAAACTGCTGACTACTAGTCCACCTCCGCCACCTTCAAAGAAATACTGTGATTTGTCATCTCCTGCTGCAGGTGGTGGATGTTCTACCCAGGAAACTCCTATGGTCCAGGCACAGGCCCAGCCGTAAACCCGCGCCCTGGACTGCCTGGGCTGAGTCACCCCTTCAGAAGGAGTGACCCGCTGAGTGCTGCTGGTGCCACTGACCACCCCCCTTGGGAAGGACAGTGAATCCAGGAGGCACCTCGCCCTGTACTTCAACTACACCACTGCACTTTGGTATTTTTCCAGCTTCAGGAGATAGTTCCTCCTCTCTCCCCTCGGTTTTACCTTGAACTGCTGCTAATGTCTCAACATACACTGTCCTAAAAAACCACCCAGTTATTCTTGGTAATAAAACCTCAGTCCTGGAGTTTGGTGGCACAGTGCTGTCAACATGGAGCATCAGTCCCATCCACTCTACACTTCAAATAATCCCTCTTCATTTCAGTCTGTTACTTTCTGGACTGCCTAATAACTACCAAAATGAATATTGCTTTTTGGGGTTGATTGGCTTTAACTGATACAGAGACCTAATACAGATGAGAAGTGCACAAGGTAAAGAACTTTTTCTTTGCAAATTCCAAATACAACCATCAGAGAAGAAAGAGTAATTGAAAGTGTTAGGAAGTTAAAAACAGCTGTGCAGACTATGCACAGAATCAAACAGTACCTGCTGTTTCTCTTGGCTCTTGCTCTAGCGTAATAGGCTTCGTAAGACTTGGGTTTCAGATCCAGGGCTTTGGTGGCAAACTCCTCAGCCATACCGAAGTCCTAATAACATGAACAAGTGTGCTCATTACACACTGAAAATAAAAGCAATCCGCGTGCTCTTTATTTGTGGCACTGCTGCACAGGTGCAGATAGCTTATGCAGCACAGAAGTCACCTTTATCAGGTCCCAAGAGCAGGTATTTCTGAAAGGCTGAGAACAGCCCTCATCTTGCTAGCCTTGCCTCTTATGTCTAAGGAAAACAGGCTCCAAGGTAGCTAAAAAGCAATGCTGCTATAGAGAAGAAACTTCATGTTTAACAGGGTAAATGACTACCTCAAAGGCAAGGCTTTAAAATGTGTTTTGAAAAAACAGCCAGTTAAAGACCTAGAAAAATCAGTAGATGGGTTGGACTAGTCCCGTGCTTTCTTTGATGAGGTACATGAAATTTTTAGAGCAGAATTGCACTGGACATAATATATTTGGTGTTCATTTAAGCATACAGAGTAAAGAGTTTAGTAAACTGATGTTTAAACTGAAGACTGGAATTAACAAAGGGCTGAACTGGGGGCACAGATGACTATGGGGAAGAGGAAGGCAGAAGCAAGTCAATTTTTGTAACAGCCATGCACAGTGCGGGGTCTGAGCACAGTGATATGGGAGGTTGGAAAGTACCAACACCAAAAACCATCCTGAGGTACCACACAAGAGCAGAGTAATGCAATGAACTTGAGCTCTGGGTGCAAGGTGAGGCAGGTCTGGATTAGCAGAAGGTAAATGGTAGTTTATCAGTGGGATATGGTAAGAAACCCACGTGCACACACACACACACACACACACACATTGTTGGTTGAAAAAGCCAAATCTGATGTCAGATGGAGGCAACAGAGGCAGTTCTGTAGCACAGAGAGAAAAGGGTTAGTGCTGCTGTGCAAGGCAGCACCAGAACTGCCTCTGTGAAGTCCTGGACACCTTTGGTTAAAATTCTTCAAACTGCAGCAGATGCCAAGAACAACTCGGAGGATGAGCAGGGAATTAAGAAGTTGCTCTTTGGAAAGAAGGAACGGCGCAAGGTACGTTCAGAAAATCAGAACTTTTTGCCCTGATGTGCTGGGGAAGGCACAACCAACCAGCACGTACAGCACAGCCACAGCTGCCGGTTGTGCTGTCTGGTAACAAGGGGTAGTAGTGGGGGCATCCTCCATGTAGTCTTTTAGAAGTACCCAAACCACCCAGCAGTTCATCACTCCAAAATAACCAGGTTAGGTAAGAGCAGCTGTAATAGATCCCCCAAGATGACATGACCTCGCCTTATGGACCATCCCCATTAGTTGACACAACCAAGCCCCAAGTCAGGATACAGTGAAAAGGATTGTAAACCAGCAAAAAATAAGTGTCCAAGTACAAACTCAGTAATGCAGCAGAACAAAAGTCAAGGCTTCGCAGGGCCAGAGAGGCAACAGACTAACAGCAAGAGCTTACATTTGTTTTTCGGCGACATCGTGACAGATTCAGGTACAATGACACTCTTAGCTCATTGAACGCTTTCATTTCTTCTCCAAATCCTTCCCTTGGAAACTTCCTCAAGGCATACTGGTAACGCTGTGCTGCTTCCTTCATTTTGCCTTTCTATAAATTTAGGGAACAAGCGTCTTTTCAATAACCCTGAATATTGCAATACTGTTGCAAGAAAGCACATTTACACTTGACATCCACCAAGCAGAAAACACAGAGCCAGATTTTTTTTAAAAATGAATATATAAAGTAGGAATTATGCTTGCACACAGACACAATGAGAGAACTTGCACATTAACTAGTGTTTGTTTCTAAACCCCTACCTTTAATGGCATTAACAATTAGTACCTGAAAAAATAATTTATGTACATGTCGTGATTTCTGTCTTTACTTTCTTAAACAGAGCAGTCACGTATGTGGTGATGCAGCTGCTCAAACTAAGGCCTAGATGCTCGTGAAGGAGCTGTCCATGAGGAGGGGCGGGGGCCCTGGGTGAGTGAGGGCAGCAGCCGCTGTGCCCCAACGAGCCACCCAGCCCCTGCCAGGGCCACGCCATGAGCTGGTCTGCTGCCCTGACTGAGCCCCTGGGGCTGCCCAAGGTCCGCCCTTGCATGGGAATGTTCAGACTCTCCAAGAGATGCTTTGAGAACATCTCCACAATAAAATGAAGATTTGAGATGGTTTTGCTAAAAACAATGAAATCCTCCTAGTATGATAAGAAAAGCAAATCTTGTAGTTGCCAGACAAATAAATTTTTCTCTTTACAGATATTTTACAAGTTAATTTCATAAACACTGAGTGATTTTTATTTTTTAATTCAGCTTAACATTCAAAGTGGTAAAAATTTACTGTTGAAACTGCCACGGGAAATATTTAAAGTTTATCTTATTTTAGTCATTGGGAGAGCTGGTAAGTGGTTACTGTATACTGTGACCACAGTCAAATCCATGTTACTCTGCAAAATAACTGTCCATTTAGAACCTGGGCAAACATCAACACATCCTGTGGGAAGTTTAACCAGCTAGGTGACATACCACAGCTCTACAAGCCCATTCAAATTACTGTAATAAAATTAAGCTCTCTAAGAATAGATACCAGCAGCAGGGAATTCAACCTCTTGTAACAAACTCTAAAGCACATCAGTACCACGTCCTGCCATGCTACCTGGTGGTCTCAGAGTCTGGGCAGGGGCCAACCTGTGGAGCAACTCGAGGAGAAAGTGAAGGAGACGAAGTGGTGCTGGTGGCGTGAGGGCACCTTCTCCTGGAGCCCCCAGGGAGCCGCGCTCCGCGCGCCCTGGTGGGACACAGGATCACAGACCTGCCCTGGCAGCTGACATCGGGTATCCTCGAGGCTGAAAGATGTCCCATGCTTAGAGGATGCTCAGAGGATATAAAGTTCTAAACCCGTTTCAGGATCAATAAACTTGATCAATTGTTCAGACTTGCTCATGAGGCTCCTGCACACAACCTGGGAGAACTTGACTCCTGTCGGTGAAGCCTCGAGGGTCTCCCCTCTGCCCTGTGCAGAGCCAGTGGGTACAGAGCCGAGAGCAGAGACACGCAGCTGGTACCTGAGGGCCCGTATTAAAAGCCCCTACAAGTCTTGTAGCTGTAACAGACTTCGAAGGATGCTTACAGAAGCTGCTCAGCACTGTGCTGCACTAGGGAAGTAACACAGGTGTATCACAGTTCACAAAAATAATTCCAGTCTCTCTTCTGAGCAATATATCACCACTAGTAAAAATAATGTATCAAAAGAGCTGTCACTTTCCTCATTATATATTTAAATCGCACACAAAAGAACGTTAACCTGAAGAAAAGGATAAGCCTGAATGTCACTTAATTCAACAAGGCACTCTCAAACAAGCACTCTAGATTCTGAGGTGCTCTTAAGAAACAACCGACTGCTACAAATGTTCACAGAGCAACTTGCTCAACAGAAGGAAAATGTACTTAAACAAAATCTACCTTTAAATGTTCATGTATTTGTTTATTTTACACTGGAATTTTCAGTGACTCTTTCCCAGAGTTCTCAGGATTTCTTGGTCTCATTTCCAACATAAGAGGATGTGCAGGTACACATCTTGTTTTAACAGAAAATGAGATACAAAGAACTTTAATCTAGCTTCAAACAGAAGTCCAATTATAAAGTTCTGCTATCAGAAAAAACCCCAAGTACTTACTTTGTACAGTATGTTTCCTTCTTCCATCAGTTTCTGCAGCAGAATAAGGAGGATATCGGGTTTTGAAGTGGCCATTGCCCATGCTGCATTTCCTGCAAGTTAAATTTTAAGGCTCTCTGACAAAAGGGAAGAAAGTGTATTTCTGGTGTCTACTCACACTAGAAAGCCTAATCCTACTTCAGCAGATATTCCACCTGTGTGGAATTATCATTATTATTATGTGCAAAAGTATTTAAAATATATATATATATATATATATATCTACACCTGCCCCTGCTGCCCCAGACAGCAGCCAGGTATTAAATGGTCCGATTCATTGCACCCCTGGTCCAAAGCCAGTATGGAAGTCAGGCTAAAGTTCAGGCCTAAGTACGGGTCTGTATTTGATCATACTTAGTACCCAAATAATAATAAATAATAATTTAAAGGTACTACAGATTCAATAATTATTGTGTACACATCTGCACAATCTACTTGTCTACTGATTTGGACTTAAATGTTTTGCCCACCCTTTGCAAAAATGTACAATTCTCTAATTTATTAAAAGAATGCTGTTTAAATGTTAAAATTTCTTGATCTGACTCATTAAAAGTGTCAGACTTAAGTATCACTAATAGTGTAGCCATAATTTTCCTGTTTAAGTATATCACAATAGAGTAACTACGTGAAGACTGACTCCTACAAACCTCCTCATCAACGAGCACCAAAGAAAGGAACAGAATAAAGTAACTCTCATTTCCTCACTTCTGAAGTGAGTCTTGAGTGTCTGCCTTTAAAAGGAAGGGATTGGTTTCTCTTGAGCAGGCATCTGCAAAGCATAAAACCTGCAATAATGTAGTGTGTAAGTCAAGATTGATGTATTTATCTAATGTACCTCACAGGAACGACAGCGGCTCTAGCAGAGAGCACTTAGCTGTTTCTCTGGTTACAGGGTAGTTTCACTCACCCAGTTTAGCTCCCTTCCTCAGCAGCATGACCACTACTGATGTATTGCGACACCCGATCGCTCTGTCCAGCGGCCGCATGCCGCTGTGGTCAACGTGCTCAATCATTGCTCCTTTCTCTACCAAATACTGCACCTGTGAAGAGAAAAGACAAGCCTGGTTACTTCAATTCTGGTAAGAGAGGCAGAGCAGCGCAGTGTGTAAGCTACCACCGGCTCTTCCTTGAGGTTTACTGGGTACAGCTTCAGAGTATGTCCAGGCACTTTAAATCCACTGAAGACAACAGCATGGGAATGCCACCCAACTGCACTGAAGGGGAATTGAAAAAGTAACAACACCCATATTCCAGCAGAATTGTCCATCAGCAATACTAACTGGAAGTGCAATATATGCAGAGGGAACGACGGCAGGTTTGATGTAAGCAGCAGCTCCCTCCCATAACCACTGCTCGCCCAAACGTGACTGGCAGCAGCCTCGTGAGGAAAGAGGCATCAACACCCCCAGTGCCAGCCCCGACGCTGCCGGCCGGCCGAGCCATCTCCCCGTTACTGCTATTCCAGCTGTGTCTGCTGCCCTGGCCCAAGGGTCGGGCCGCTTGGCCACAGGAGCCGCTGATGTGGGCAGTGCCAGGTGAGCTGGCAGTGGGGGCTGCTCCAGCACAGCCACCAACAGGGCCTGGGCACCCCTTGGCTCCAGGCAGGAACGGCCCCACGCTGTGACTTCTGAAATCTCTTAGAGCCACTACAGATCTAAGGGCTTATTTACAATTTCAGGTTACTTCTGACTAAGGCTGTAGCAAGTTGTACTGTGCAGCAGCATTTTTACTCAAGAACTGCTGTTCTGAAACAGGACACTGTGTACACAAACTCTACAAATAAAGATTCTGGCGAGTCTGAGAGGCTGCAGCGTGCTCTCCCTGCTGGGTCCCGGTGACCTCCTGGCCTGTCTGCAGCACCAGCAGACTCGGGCAGGGCCCTCCGAGCAGGCTGTGGAAGGGGAGTTCCCAGCTGCCCAGGCTTCGGATTCCTGCTTAATCACTGAGTTTTGAAGCATGAGAACAAAAATAGGCAATCACTTAAAAAAATCTGTGATTTTAAGATATAGAGGATTTTAAATCACAGACTTTAGACTTATTGTAACTTTTGATATCAGTTACAGGCACGGTCCATTTCAGATTCAGAAAAACTTCACATAAACCACCTGAAATTCCTGCACTGTAACATTTATTATAGAGGAAGAAGGTAGTATGTGAGAAAGGTACAGGACTGAAAACGGCACTTCTGTTTCTGAAATGACCTGTGGAACAAACTGCGAAAAACTGAATTTCCACTTCAGGCCTCGTATTTCCACATGTACAGGCTGGATAGTAACACTGAGACGTGCTCGGTGGCACCTTTGCAAGATGAAAAGTGTGAGGATTTCTAACAGCTCTCTGCCTGTCACACAAAGCGTGTAAGATACCCATCAAAGACAAGTAATACTGCCTTATGATGGAGAAGCAAAATCTTTCTGCATTTCATCTATTCTGGCAATATTATTCTTCTTCCCACATCTCTCACTTGGGGTCTTTGCTCCACTAAAGCACCCAGCTGACTGGGACCATCTCAGGTTACCTCGATGGGTTTGCAGAGGCTGTAAAAAGGTTATTTTCCTCTCATGTCCCACAGGCAGTTTTGTTTTTGTTTTTTTAAATTCCAGTTCATCCAACACAGAAATTGTAAATACTGAGATTTAACACTCTCACAATGAAGTACAACATCGTGCTGTAAAATGTAAGAACACAATGCTGTACTTTCACCACCAGTCCTGGGTGTAAAACCCCAGACAATGATCCTCTGGGTGAACACCTGCACTGAGTCAAGATACCAGCAGTGTAATCACCTGGGCTACTTCCTCAACCTTCACTTCTATTTTGGTTGGCAATATTTTTTCCTAAGTTTTGTTTTGCATTATGAAAATTCAATACATGCTTAGTTTTTTTGCTCTTAACTGTACTTACAATATCAGCATCTCCATAAAAAGCTGCCAGGTCTAGGGGTGTTCGTCCATTTTTGTCTGTCTGATCAGTTGTTGCACCTTTCTCAACTAAATACTGAACCACTTCCCTGTGGCCCTTTAGACAAGCCCAGCTCAAAGCTGTCAGTCCTTCTTTATCCAGAGATGAAATAGTTGCACCTGTAAAATGAAAATTAACTCTTATGAAGATGTCCTGTTTCATAAGCAAAATTACCTGACTCGCACAGATGCAGTCTCTGGTACAGCTGTGCAGCCTTGAACCACTTATTTATTTTCTACCTTCAGAAAGCAGAAATTCCACAGTGCTCAGGTGTCCTTCACAAGAAGCCACCATAAGTGGAGTTCGTCCCTGCTTGTCACTTAAATTCACATCAGACCCGTGCTCCACTAGGAGTTTAGCAATCTGAAAAAGATGACAGCAATTTAAAAATAAATCAGCAGATATAAATTTTAGCCATAACGGCACCAACTTTTAAAGAAGAGGACTCAGATGTTATTTACAGCAATCAGTGAAATTCCTGTGCAACTGAAGTCTTAACTGTTTGCAGCTTGGGGCCTTCTCCTGACAGGAGTTGGCCAGCATGGGGAGGGCATCTGACTCTAAGGTTCTCTCTCCATTAATACAGAAGCAGCAGAGACGATCTGAAATTGCCTCTGTTCTTGGTCTAGGAAATAAAATATTTAAACCTCCATGTGTTATTCTTTAGGTATATTATAACTAATGCATCCAATGTACTGTTGAATCCTTTGTATCACTTTAAACAACCTCAGGAGTGAGCTGCTGAACACATCCCTTTGAAGCTGATGCAAATTAGAAAAATTACACTCATTTATTACGGACTAGAAACGGGAGGAATTAGGGACTGCTTCCCCGAGGAATCCATTTTATTCATGGAATTGTGCCAGACCTGCCAGTGCCCCTGCCGTACTGCACAGAGGAGCGGCGGGATCCCCCTCCTGTTAGCTCTCGTCACAACTGCTCCCTGTTCAAGGAGTAATTCGCAGATTTCCAGTTTTCCTCTTCCTGCAGCAGCTGTCAGGGCTAAAGAAAGCATTTTCATCAACATCGGCTCTTGGCTGTTTTATCACAACTTTTGACACATGTAACACATGACACACGTGAGTGTTTCTGAATCCCCAATTCTTCAACTCAGCTGCTCCACAAGATTTTCATAACTATTTTCAAACTCAAACAGATTAGTCAGAAGCAGGTTAAGTCAGTAAGCCATACACATACTCTGGTAAATAAAAAGATAATTCTCAACTGTATCATATGTATAGCTCATAGGTTAAAAGGAATCTGTATGAGAATTTTGGATAAACCCACCAGGCTGTTGCAGTTCTAGTTCCTTTTCATTAATAATTTTTTTCCTGACAAGAAAGCTTCATCTGTTTCCATCAGGCCCTTCCCAAAGGTGAAGATGGTAACAGTTCTGGGATTCAACAAAGGGACTGTAACTCAGGTTTCAGGAAGTACTGGTCACTCAATCCCCAGCAGTGATGTATTATTAAACACCTTTACAAGTCCAGGGGACCTGATGAGATGCATCCACAGGTCCTGAGGGAACTGGCAGATGAAGTGGCTCAGCCACTATCCATCATATTTGAGAAGTCGGGGCAGTCCAGTGAAGTTCCCGCTGACTGGAAAAGGGGAAACATAACCCCCGTTTTTAACAAGAGAAAAAAGGAAGATGTGGGGAACTACAGGGCAGTCAGTCTCACCTCTGTGCCCAGCAAGATCATGGAGCAGATCCTCCTGGAAACTGCTGGGGCACACGGGAAATAAGGAGAGACTGGTGACAGCCAACACGGCTTCTCAAGGGCAAACCGTGCCTGATGGATCCGCTGGCCTTCTAGAATGGGGACTCGATCAGGGGGAGGGACAGGACGAGGGGGAACAGGTTTGAACTGACAGAGGGCAGATTTGGATTCATTATAAGGAAGAAATTCTCCCCTGTGAGGGGGGTGAGGCCCTGGCACAGGCTGCCCAGAGAAGCTGTGGCTGCCCCCTCCCTGGAAGGGCTCAAGGCCAGGTTGGACGGGGCTTTGGGCAACCTGGGCTGGTGGAAGGTGGCCCTGCCCGGGGCAGGGGGTGGCACTGCATGGGCTCTGAGGTCCCTTCCCACCCAAACCACTGTATGATATTTAGATCTCTGCATCCTGGATAATTTAGCTTAATTCTGAAGTAGTTAAAATTGCTTTCCCTGTTTTTCATGGTGAAAACCACAGGAGGTTATCAATCAGTGGTTCTGACTCTTGTGTGTTAACTCCTGCTCTTAACTGTACATTCTCCACCACATGAGACATCAACATTCTAGTTCACCTTAAAAATGTTTTTTGAACTGAACAGCGTATGTTGTGGAGCAAGTGCTCCTGACCTCTGCAGCTTTTCAATAGACAGCTGCTCTCCCCGCAGACACGTCCCCAGCCCCGGCTGCAAAGCCCGGAGCAGCCACTGCACCCAAACCCGGCGGGGCAGCCCAACACCACAGAGCAGCACAGTGTCCAGCAGCAATCAGCAACACCCGGGATATGATCTCTACTGTAGAGGTTCATGAGACACACATACTGCACACCTGTGCTCACAGTACGTGGCTTTGGCAAAAGCAGGTGATTTCCACACACTTGGCACTAATGTTCCGTGACTCGCAGCACCATGACGCCGAGGCCTTGCTGTAAGGCCATGCAGTTCAACAACTCCCCACCCTCCCCTACAGATTATTATACTCCTTGCTTTTCACTGTGACACTCACTGAAGCTTGAAAATATTTTACTCATCATGATTTTTCCCCTCTTCCATTTCGCTTGCATTAACTTATTGTGTGTTTTAAATGGAGCTTGAAATTAAAATGTTGTTGTTGTTCTTTGTGTTGAAGCATCATCAGTAATGTTAACACTGTTTAGAAAATGGGTTCACGTGCTAACTTCTGCAAGAATCAGCAAAGGACTTGCACCTCCACTTTCTAAATCCTAACAGTACATTTTCCAATAAGAAGTGGGTCAAATTGTGAATTTCTTGTTACTCGTTTTTTATCATTTTGAAACAAGATATAAAGTAGAATTTTAAAAAATTCCAACGGATGATGAAAGTGAATTAAATTACAAACAGTGCAGGAAGTAGTAAGTTCAATATTTTTTGTGAGAACCATACCTAACCCATTCACTCTTCACTCACTGACACTTCACTGTCACAGTTACATCAACTGTTCAGATCTGAACAACTAGAAGGTAACCGTTACAGATATCAATATTAAAGGCAAACCAAACTATCTTGTTTCATTCCATCAGTACCAGCATTTTAGCTCATGGTGTAACTGGCATTACAGCCACAATCTAACTATCAGGTATAAGATGACTACACAATTGCTCCAGTCAGCTTAAACACCACCAGAACTAAACCGTGCTCAGGAATTCTGACGATTCCACTCAAGAGGATCACCTCTGACATGCCTAATGGTACTCTGCAGAAGCTGACAGCAGCCAAAGGATGCTATTTTCTATCACTTCTACTAGACAGTAAGTAATGCTCCAAATTAGCTAATCTGTACAGAATGTGTGAGGCTGGAAAAACATCTGAGATGTCTTTAACCTAAGATCACCCTTTCCAACTAAGACATAATAATGTGGATTTTGAAAAGGGTAAGCTAAGGAAATGTAGAAAACAGGCTCTAAAGTCTCCCACTCCCTACATCCTCTCATATCATGTGCCATGTGATTTTTTAATCTGCTCCACTTTAATTAGCTGTTTAACTTTCCCTGAACCTGTATGTCATGTCCTCAGCTCCAGCAGAGGGGACGGCAGCGACGCTCTCTTTCCCTCTCACAGACTCACAGTACCAAATGCTTCCAGCAGCCTCCACAAGGAGCAGGACCCACTCAGGACTCAAGTAGATACAGCAGTAAACATGAACCGAAACCAGCTGTTCCTGAGCATGTTAACACATGAAAAGGAACGATCTTTAAGGTTGTTTATGCCGTGTCAAGGTGCGATGGATTTTCCCTTTTGAAAACAGGCACACACTAAACACACAGCTCCTCGCCCCATCTGCCCCATAGTTGTAAGTTTTATCACTATCCAGTTCCACACCACGGTCCCACTTCCAAAGACAGCAAAAACCACGCAGTGCAATGCAAATCTAAGTTCACCCACACAAAGCTGTGACGACTCCAGCAGCATATAAACTAGCATCCTTTCCAGACAGTTTTTACGTTCAGTGACTGATGAGTAGTATTTCAGGGAATGCTAATCCTGTGGCTATCCTGACTTACTCTACATGTTTTTCTTGTCCCAAACTTAGTGCTCTGTATGTCAGAGAGCACAAAAGTGCTACAGGGAACTGCTCATAGTTCTCTGGACTCGGACCTTCACCTCCATCAGTTAGGGCTGCATAAGGAAGCACTTACTTAATGAGTAAAGATTCCCAATACATCAAGCAAGAATTTCAATGCAAAATGTTGGTGAGAAAAAATTAAAGGAAAATTTATTTAGAAACAGATGTATGTTTTTTGGAATTCATTGGATTTGCAACAACAGTTTTGTATATGCATAGGAATAAAGCACACTTGCTTCTCCAGGCTGTGGAGAGGCTCCTGACAATCACGAAGAGACTGTTTCCCCACCTGCCTGGGCGATCTCAGCTGGTTAAATGATATCAAGATGCTGTTCATATGGCAGAACAGGAAACCTTCAGCTGCAGGCTGCACAGCTTACAGTCTATCTTTAAGAAAACTTTGGCATTTCCCATACATAGAGAGATATGTCTTTTCATTCATAGCCTAATTAGAATGAGGCAACTGTCTAGCATTTCCTGAAAACAAATGACATTTTTAAAAAAGTCCTCAAACAGCTAATCCTATGAAATTCTACACTGAAGCTTGAAGCACTGTATTTCCACAGACAATTTTCAATTAGAAAGTCAGGAATTTATAATAAATTTAATATAAAATAACTCTTCAATGCATAAGTAGATTTAATAAGCTGAAAACTCTATATACTTCTGCTTACAAACAGCATTTTATTAAAGCTGGTATTTTCCCATGACTTTCATCTCAGAAAATTAAATTTAAAAAAATAAACATTAAAATCTCTTACTTCTTAAATGAGGGAAAATGAGAAAGGCAATAAATACCTGTTTCTCCCCACAAGGCATCGGTGTCATTGATGTCTACGTCGTGGCCCTTGGCAATCGCCAAGATGTAACAAAGCACCTGCCGAAACCAGCAGAGACGTTGGGAGTCACAAAGACCACCAGCTGTCACTTGCAACAACTTTATAAAGAACAGACTCTTGATCTTAAAGCAATTAAAAGATATATTTACAAGAATACTGAAATGGTTTTACTGAAGAGATTTTGGCACATCACTTATAATACATACACAGGAAATTCCATCAGCCTACTGTAGTCTTTATTCAAGTATCTTTACTTACTGATTACTTTTATATCAAGGTTAAGAATTATTTTCCCAATGAACAGAAGACATACTTGTATTACCTAAATATCTAGAGCATTTTGAGTATGTATGTATTTACTTCTAGTGTTCCTTTTACTGCATAACCGTGTTAATACTGACAAGCACTTCTATCATACACGTGCGTATGACCCCAAATTTCTGTCTTAAGTGACATCAAGCTGAAGCAAGCATGTGCAATATACAATTTGTTATACTATGAAAAAAAAAAATCAACCTGAAGTAGAAACATACTAGGGTGGATCACTGATCCAGAATATCATCATTACCACTAGAGATTTAGGACAACTTCCAAGAACGGAGAGGAAAAACTAGACAGAAAGTTAAATATGAACAAATCCTGAAGCAAATGGTATTATTGGATAATTAACTACAGCATTTTAAATAACTGCTAAGCATTCATACTACTTTAAACATCAGAAGTTTCAACAGTTCTGCTTTCCAAACCTCTTTTAAAATTAGCTGCAATCACTGTTGTACAATTCTCATAAATTCAAACAGATCTGGAAATATTTGAACTATCGACCTACCTGGCAGTGCCCCATACTGGAAGCAGCTGTTAGAGCTTGCTGCAGTGCCTGGCTTTTTCTTAGTGAATTTTGTTCTTGGGCAGGAGTTACCCAAACAACATTGAGCAAGTATTCAAGGATATCACGATGTCCTCTCAATGCACTATGGACCAAAGCACACTGGCCTTTCTTGTCTACACAGTCAGCCTGCAGTGGGGGAAAATATAATGTTCAAAGTCAAAAAGTCCACGGAGAGGAGAAGCTCCATGAGCACCACAAGAGAGCAAATGTCACTCCTGTCTTCAAAAAGGAAGATCTGGGGAATTACAGGCCAAACAGCCTCACCTTAGCTGCTGGGAAGGTGATGGAAAAACTAATCCTAGAAACCATTTCCAAACATATGAAGGAGAAGAAGGTGACTGGGAGCAGTCAGCATGGGTTAACGAGGGGAAGCCACGCTTAACCAACCTGAGAGCCCTCTACAACGAGGTGACTGCCTTGGTGGATGAGGGGAGAGCTGTGGGTGCTGTCTGCCTCAACTTCAGTGAGGCTTCTGGCACCGTCTCCCAGAACACAGTCACGGACAAGCTGATGGAAGAACAGGTTATGTGAGTGCTTAGGGAGGTGGACCCAAAACTGGCCGAACGGATGGGCCAGAGGGTTGTGATCAGCGGCATGGAAAATCCTGGAGAATTCTGGACTCTCCCACTGCCTCGCCCCCTCTATCTGTGTTAATTATATACTTTCGTAATCAGCAATGGTTTTCTTAGGCCTCTGCATGATTTTCTGGGCTGCAAACATTGTGACCTTTGTGCATCAGCTTACCTTTGCACCTTTTTTGTACAGCAGTGAGACTATGTTCATGTGACCTGCAGCAGCTGCATAACTAAGTGCTGTCATCCCATTTTCTGAAGTTCCATCAACAGCAGCTCCAAATTCTAGTAAAAGAGTGACCACTTCTTCATGTCCAAGGTGCGACTGAACACACAGCACTGGAGCATTATTTAGTACTTCAGTCCTATAATTCACATTTGCTCCCGCCAAGATCAGCAGCCGACTCACCTAAAATTAAATTTAAACAGATTTGTCTGAGTTTATTAAGAGACTTGGACATTTTGATTCAGGTCCTCCTACGTTACTCCCTAATTCTGATGCAGATTTTATCACATATATAGCAATAAGAAATCTATTAGGAAACGGATTACTGTATTGCTGAACTATGGACTCCTAACAGAAGACTCGCCTCTCCTCTGAAACTCGCTACTCTCACCACAATTTCATCTGTGTGACTCATTACTACTCTGCAGATTCATGTAACCAACTCCATTAATAGAGAACCAGATTGCATAAAAAGCAACCTCAAAAAAATTATGAGAGTGTGTGTGTGCATGTACACACAAACTTCAATCAGAAGGCTCAGTAGGTGGCTAAAATGGCAACTTGTCCATTTGGACTTCCCTGTCCATAATCCAAGGATTCAAATAACAGTGCAAAGTTCCAGCATTTTACATCCTTCCACTCTCACAGTATTTTCCCTTTTACAATTCCCTTGATACTCATCCATATGAGAAAATATGGCTGAAGTCTGCCCAGAAACTCGGGTGGTACATCTGACCCCCTGAAAATGCATCTACACACTTATCTACACTACAGTGAGTGGCCACATCGGAATCAGGGTGAAACCCTTCTTCCCATCAAAACTATCAAGGAAAATTGAACTGGACTTTAATAAGATCTTAAAAAAGCACATGAAGACTTGTTATAAAGGAGTTCAGTTACAGATGCACAGTGGTGGGCTTTTAGTTCTAAAGGATTACAAAAATTTTAACATTCATTGACAGAGTTACAGTAACAGTGGCAGACGAAGCACTGATTGTAAAAAATGCTTTCTTTCTTACCTTCACGTTGGGTGTATAGATGTTTCTCAGAGAAGCCAGGGCTGCAGACAGTCCATCAGTGCTATAACCAATCCACAAGGCTTGAAGGTGACTGGAAGAGATTCCAGTCCTTTTACTGAGACCCTAACAGAAATGATATGACAGGAAATCTCTCTATAGGATTAGAAATACTATTTATATCTGCATGTCATCAGTAAAAAGAGAAGTAACAATTTTGTCAGCACTACCAATGCATAAGCTTCTAACAAATTATTAAAGTAAGTCAGAGGAGAATCTCCAAGAGGCATTAATATGAATAAATCATAAACCCTATAAAGCTGCAAGCTTTACCTTAAAAATGTGAGCCTTAAGTATATGATGACCAAGTTCCATAGTTTGCTGGCGGTTTAACTTTCCCTCTTGTCGAGAAAACATGAAAGCCAGTAGAGCATGTCCATTCCTAGTAAAAAGGATTAAGAGAGAACTGCATTTATAATCATACTTTCAGTAAATAACCCAACACATCTGTATGCCCGTCATAACACCTCAACCTTGTCAGACTACTGAAACATACCATTACATCTAAACAAAATGATTTCCATAACAAAATAATACAACCAGAAAAAAAAGCAAATTTCAAAGTTGAAACACACTGCTAATACCTTTCTACTGCTGCCTCACAAAGGCCCGCCTGAGGACCAGTACAGCTTTGGACATGGATTGCATACTGCTTTAGTCTTGTTTCATCTCACAGGCAAAAACTGCAGGTACCTCAGATAAAACCCCTTTTGGAAGATCAGAATCCTTTGAAAATTTGAGATAAAACGTGTGTGTAGTAATTCTACATCTACACTAGTTGGTGGTCAGTGTTCTGGGAAACACTGGAAATGCCATAACCCTGAGAAAACAGGGTATCATACACTATACATTTATCAGACTATACGCTGGAACTGGACAATTAACCATATGCTAATTAGACTATTCATCTGGAGATGAAGTTGTGGAGGGCTTCTTGTCCCATCTTCAGAAATTTCTGAACAGAACTTTCCAAAAATGGAGGGTTTAAGTGAACCTGGGCAGCACTCCCCAGGCCTCAGGCACTCCCGGGCCTGGGGGCAGCCAGCGGTGCTGCAGAACGGTAACGGCCACGGAGGCTGCAACGTGGGTTAATTCCACCCACTGAGCTGCTCTGGTCACGGCCACTCTGAGCACCGAGAGGTCTGGGGTCAGCGATCATTGCAAATGTCACCGTTGTGCGTTCTTTTATAAAAACAAAAAACTAAAACCCTGAAGAATATGAAAAAAACCTGGAAGATGAAGACTGGGAGAATGTGCACGTACAGTAGAGCTTACTGTCCCCAATGCAGCTAATTCATGCTCTCTACAACAAAGGAGGTCACATGGAATAACCTGAAACAATGCCATGAGGATATAATTATAGAAGTGTCTTAGTATTTTATGTTTAAAAGAGCCCAAATGATGTTCTTTCTATTCCTGCACTCTAAATAGACAGGGTGGTGCTGCACATAATTCTCAGCAACTTTGCTGTACTAATAACACCACAGTACTCTCGTTTCTCCACAAAGGTAGCAAAATTAAATGCAAATCTGCAAATTCTCCACAGTAAAGTATGCACTGTAACCTCTGACACTTCTAGTCAAGTCTACTTCTAAACATCCACGTTTTCATTTTGGAGAAAATTAGGTGTGCTTTGTGTTTTAACATTACTATTTCCTCTCACCAACTGTTGCAACCAATTACATAAAACATAACTGCATTATCTGAACATGATGTGCTGCAGGTTTCACTTACCTTGGCTCACATAAGAAGTCAGCATTTTCACCGTCTGCTCTCCAAACAAGCCACTCCCTGAAGGAAGGATGGCAGAACATACGTGTTTTGTCACGTCTTTTTATCAGAAAACTTGAAAGGGCTTCCATCCTTTGGCTGAAGTCTTCCCACTGCTGTTCACCATTTATCTGGCCTGCATTAATAGCCTGGAAAATCTGGTCATCTGTCATGGGATGGAGGGATGCCAGTGCCACGTTCAGTATTGGCAGGGCTCGCTCAAAAGCGGAGTTTGTCATGAACTTCATATTGCACTGAAGTAAGTATAGTTCTGAGAGAGACACTGGAACAACCTTGTAGCTTGCACTTTTGATTACTAAGTGACCTTTTTGGAAAAGATCCAGAGTGAGTTTCAAATAGAGATAAGATCCCAGGCTTCTCATGATCAGGTGGTTACTCACTTTCCCAATAATAGCTGCATCAGCTTTTCCATTTAAAGAGATGTTGTTTATAATTTCCTGGCTGTTATTAATTCTGTACTGAATATAAGCATTCAAATCATCATGAATTTCTTTGTTGTCTGGAAAATTGTCCAAGGATATTGCGATAAAAGGCAGTGCATTTACTACTTCCTATGAGGGGATAGGGGAAAAAAAAAAGAAAGAAAAAATAAAACCACACAGGTATTAACAGTATTCCAGATTCCAGCACTGAAAACTCAACAATGCATCTTTGCTATATTTATCTTCTGTAGTAGTATCAGATAGATTAAAAAGAAATTCAGTCCCTCTGTGGTGGCTTTACAACTACTGTCCCCTGATAACAGTCGGAACAGTATTTCTCCGTTTAATTGTTTTTCATAGGAAGGTCTCAAATATTTTACTGACCAAGCTCAGCAGGGCACCTGAAGACGGTGAGCTATAGAAATGATCGCTTCGAAATTAAGGGAACAGAAATCAGTTACCAGAATTGGACCCTAAAACAGGCCCAGGGAAGGGGTGTGTGTGTGTGTGGGTGTGTGTGTGTGTGGGTGTGGGTGTGTAGAAGGAGGATTTATTAAGAAGTATCACAAATGACAAGAAAGATTCTAAGATTCTCCTCATCATTACACCTTCCAGTGACAACGCCCACAAAGTACCACCCACACATGCACAGCCCCGGTATTTAAGGCAAGTACCAAGTGTGGCACACTCAGACACTCCAACAGGTCTACCTCACATGTTTTGTGTTTATGTACCACAGAACACATTTATGTTCATGTAAATAAAGACCCAAGAGACCTAAAACTTCTTACAGAGAGACATATATCAGAAGGGTTTAACAAACTTCTCAACACTTCCACAATATAAAAAGGAACTCTTTATTACACTTTAAAGTAGTTACGTGATTTCAAAAAAACGAACTTTCAGGCTAGTAGGATATTTTGACCACAGATGCACATTTCTCTAGAGAGGAAACAGTCCATACTACAGAAATCCCTTGTTAAGAATTAAGATGTAGTTGAGAACTAAACTCACCTGGCAGTTAAATGCCTAGAGCCTCACGGCAAGAAGGCAGATACGCACTGAACTCCCAGGAGGCCGTACTGCAGCACCCCTGCACCCTACCACTGTCAAACCAGACCTGGAATCGCAGAACAGGCTGGGTTGGACGGGACCTCCAGAGCCCACGTAGCCCAACTCCACCACACATCCGACTTCCCTGCCTGCACCCTGTCAGTGCGGGCACAGGGCAGCCCTGGGGACACCTGCCCCCCACCCATACACCCGCAGTGCACCAGGGAAGAGCGACTGCAGGGCTGGGCTGGGTCCTCCTCCAGGTCTCCTCTGGCAGCCGGGGCCCCTGGTGAGGCAGCAGCCCAGGGCTCGGAGGCCTGCAGGCAGTGCTGCGCCCCGAGCACAGGGCGCTCGGGTATGGACACACCTTCTTCTTAAAACTGAAGTGAAGGAGACTATCTTAAACCAGCCTGGCTAGTGCTGGAAACAAAACCAAGACTTTGTTCAGAACATTGCTATCCAGTGCAGAAAAACAGGAATTCTGCATGGCCTCACTTCAACACCCTCGGGATTTCTGCAAGTATCTCTTAGCTGCTTAATGCTGATAAAATGCTTCAACCAGAAGTTTTGAGGCTGGGTTTTTTCAGGGGCAGCAAACAGGTCAAGAGATGCAGAGAGATCAATGGTAATAAGGCCAGAAAGCAATTTCATCAACACAGAGTGGAATGGTGGCTTATCCCTTCCTAAAAAGTGAAAATCCAGAGTTTAACACTATCAGAAATACACTCCAACAAGTAAACATTGCAGGGAAAATCACTATGGGCTTCTAATTGCTTTTATTTTTTTTAACCTTTTAAACATTCATTTACCCATTTCACTCTTGAAGGCCAAGGAAACAGACTCTGATTTCACCACTCCTTATGTTATCAATTCTACTAGCATACTCCAGAAAGTGATTCAAAACAAAAAAGGCCTCCAATATCATACTTGTGCACTGTAAATAAACATGCAACAGTAAAAGGAAGGAAGGGGAAAAAAACCCAAGAGACTTTACTTTGAATTCCTCTCAAACCAGTATTTTCCATAATAATGCAGCTGCACCAAGAGAAACAATCACTTAGTCTTTGAGGGTAAGAAAAAAAAGGTGTTTTTACCTGGAAGTTAGTTCTTACAGTCACAATGAGCTTCAGCCAGGGAGGAAACTTAGAGATTATGCTTGTGATAAATGAAGAAAGTGTGTCACCATAATCAGGTTTATGAAATTCAGCATCATTTAAACCATCTACCAAAATTATGTAGTCTTCCTCAGGAATTTTCTGCTCTGAAATACAAAAACAAAAAAAAAGCAAGCACTAATACAAATTCTCCTTCTGACGTATTTTATCCCCAAACTTTGAACATCAAGAAATAAAAATGTACCTTTATGCACAGCAATACATCTTATGGTATTTAAGTATTATTTAGGAGATTAAGAACAACATTAGGAGATATAAAACAACACTGCCATAAAATGATAAAAAGGGGAAGCAACCACAATGATGTTTTTTACTGTGCTATTATTATGGCTCTATTTTACAACTGATTTTAAAAGTGTTAAAGGATTAAACAAAGCTGTAAATATAAGAGACGGGTGGACAGGGGAAGGAGGTGTATGTAGGCTGTTTAAGCAGGTAGTTAACACTACTTTTACTTATTAGCTATTTTCTTAAAACTTTTCCTTTATTGGACTTACCAAACAAAAATAGTTTAAAATTTGCACAAACCATAGAGACACTGGTTTAGGCTTTCAGTTCTGAGGAGAAAGGTTACTCTGCAACAGCTTGAGAAACTAGCAACATCCATTTTGAGCACTTCTTAAGGATGCAAATCCCAGGGAAATCCAGGACTAAAGATAAGATTTGCCAATGGATTTCACAGGAATTTTGTTGACTGTCGACAGAATGCAAGAACTGCAAACCAGTTGTCATAGGAATGACACATGCTGGGCTCACACACTGGCAAGTCTGCTGCCCTGACCTGCCACACATCCAGTACCTGCTCCAGCTGGGACCCACTGCCAAGCCAGCTCTTCTCAAGGGGGAGCTGGCTAAAGTTTTTTTAAACATAAAATTCACGTCGTACACACTTTCTTGGAAAACTGCTGTACCAATTTTAAAAGGAAGCAAAAGCCACACCCTCTTTGCAGGTGTTTAGGCACAGAAAATTACAAAACAAAGAAGCGTGACAAAAATCAAATGCATCTGAAAACAAAATCTTTTAATGCAAATGTACCAGCCTTAACTTCAAGCTACAAGGTTATCCTTGCGTTTTCTGGGGGGGGGAAAAAAAAAAAAAAAAAGAGCAGAGTTTCCATGACCTTTAATAAATTTCATAGAATTTTATTTTAAAACATGAAACAACTGTTCAAAATCTTCCTATTAATGTTACAAAGAACTACCACAATTAACGAATCTCTTTCTCTGGGAATGTTCTCTTTTATTTGTTTCTCTTAGAGCATTACAATACATATTCTTAGATTGTTGTCTCTTTTTATGCCATTTAGATTCAGTTTCCACATCACTTCTTGCTTAACCTACCTCTCCTGAGGCTTGAAAGTGGTTCCAACACTCCCCTTTTAAAAGCTGCTGCTGGATCCTGGACACAAGATCTCAGGCTAAGCATGCTTTGTAAGTGAGGTTCTTTTATTAGAAGATCTCTGTATGCTGTTAATTGATTTGAACGACAAAGTAAAGCTGCAATACTGTGCACAAATTCTGGGACAAGACATGTGTATGTGTTGTCAGCTTGACAGTAGTGATAAGCAACGACCTGGAGAATCCAAAAAAAAAAAAAAGTGTTACCCCTTCAATATTTAAGTTGGTTATTAGTTAGTGCATTTATGATCAAGTGGTACTAAATTTCTCTTTCAACTTCAGAATATTTTTCAGGGTTATATAAAATAATTATCCTGCTCTGCAGCTGGTCTCACATGGCCTGTGTCAGAGACACAGAGAGGAAAACACTGAATTAGATTTTGACCTTGTCGGGCATGCAAAGAGAAAGAAATCACAAAGAAATCTCAGTGTCAGATTCCAGCAGGAACACACAGTAATTTGAGTTCGGGCCATTTGGATACAGTGGGTAAACAGCTGAGTAACTAAGCAGTACCAGAAAAATAACTTGAGACTCTAAGCGACCTATTAGCTATAATTTAACAACACTGAGTCACACACTGTAATGACCCAAGGACTAATTTAATCATCATCAGGCAAAAGTAAATGACAGCTATTAAGGACATCTTCATATAGCAAAGAGAAAGGGGACAACTGCCTTTATTCTGATTATTCTGATTATTGCAGAGGTGTGCATTAATTAAGAATAAAACATAACATAGGCCATATTTCTTTGGGGGAAAAAAAATAAAATCAAACCACAAGTAAAACACAGGGTTCGTAGTAAATACGAAGTTTGCACTGCAGTGGCTTTCATAACATTGTTTCCAAAGAACAGGCATCACCCTGAAGACTGCAACAACAGCCTCATGTTATCCCACAACTATTTGCATACAATTCAGACATTAATTACTTTTACTACTTAGTAAAAAAAATAAACACTTATCATAACAATCTAATGCAAAAATAACTGCTAATGGCTTCCTTCAGACTCTCAGAGTATGGAAAACAGACTACATTCAGACTCAACCTGTACCACAGAATACAGATGGATTACACAGAGACCAAACATTTTATTTTCTTTCTTTTTATTTTCTTTCCAGGATTTTGCTTTTGGAAAGCATCTACCTGTAAAGAACACACAGTCCCTTTTGGAAGTAAAGGATCCCAACCTCCCATATACACATGAAATAGATGTGAAATTTTAAATGTTAACTCTTTCTATGACAAAGCAGAATTCAAATAACTTGGAAGGTAGAAAGGTGGGTATTTGGTTTCGCCATGATGAAACGGACCCACCTGTCAGGAGTGTCCCAGGTTACGGCCTGTTCCCCGTGCTGGCACACTCGGGAGGTCTGCAAAGCAGGCTGCCTCCCTCAGGCTAGAGGTTTTCTAACGTGCTGAAATTCTGTTAGCAAGTGGAAACTCACCCTTGAAGCAAGATGTCTCACAGAATCACCTGCTGGACTTTGGTATTCAGGAGCAGGAGAAAAATTCAATGTCTTCATTGTACTGGAACCACTTGCTGGAGAAGCACACAGGGGTAACTGACTTAAAGGAATCTCCTGACAGGCGTCACCACCTATTTTTAAAAGGCAACAAATACAAAAGAGACTAAAATTGCTGACAGCAGATTGTTTTATAGGAAAACATCACAGACTACCTTTACCACTGAAGTAAAAGTTAAAACTGAACAACATCATTAAAAGAAGCCTAAACTAGTCTGATAAATACAGGCACATATTTGCAACTTAACCATTTTAAAACAATTCAACTGACTTTTAGATCAAAACTATAGAATTAATGAAAGCGAAACCATGCTGATGTGAAGTTTCCTTGTGAACATTACATATGCAATGACTCATTATTTAAACTGATAGTTATTGCATGACTGAACTCTTGGGAAAGATAAGCAATTTATCACTGTTGTTATTAATATGATTATTTGGAGTGTCAGGAGGGGAAGTAGCAGTGAGAAGCCACACAACCCTCCAGTTAAGGTGGGCAGTGGCCAGGCCAGGTGACCGACTGATGGATCCAGCAGGGGATGTGGGTTTCTCCACAGCTTTACTCTCGCCTCCCCTGCAGCACTGCGGGACATGGGCGGGCACGCTGGGAAGGAAATGTGTCACTGCTCTCCAAACTCAGGGGAGAAGGAGCCACTGCAGCCACCCCGCAGCAGAGCTCAGGGCACGCTCTGCCTGACGGCGGGAAGGGAGCCTGCACCCAGTCTCCTTTTCACCGTCTCCTCTGATGGGCTGAGCCCACGCTGCATTATGTGGGAGGTGTTTGCCAAAGCATACCATTGTAAACAGCTTCCTTTCCTCACGGAGGAAACAAATACTTGCTGGGGAGTTGATGAGGCCTGACTACCTTAAGCCAAAAAGCAAACAACATTCGATTCTGGTTATCAGTACAATTACTCAGACAAGGAACATACTTTTAGGGGATGAATTAGGGCCATTTGAAGCTATTTGTCTCATGCGACTTCCGTGGCAGCTAAGTGCCACCAGCCGAGAAATAATTGCAGTCTTCCCAAATCCCACATTTCCAGTAATGACTGCTCCCCTGTTCTCTGCTGGATCAGTATTCTTCAATTTTTCTTCAATCGCTTGAAACAGCCACTCTCTTCCAACAAACACCGAGTCTGTCGTTATACTTGGCACTTCAAACAACAGCGGCTTCAGCAAAATGTCTTGAGGTTTATAGGGGATGAAATGACCTGAGAAAAGGTGGCAGGGAGAGAACTGTATGAGAAGAAACTTGACATGCAATAAACCAGCACTGTTTCAGAAGATAATTTTATTCGGTGACCTTGTTAATAGCGTTCATAATCAGACTTCTTAGAGCTTTCATCATGAAAACGATACTGATTTGCTCAGTTCAGGTCACCTCCATAATTCCTACGTGAATTATACTCTAGAGAAGAAAAGTTACAAGTATAATTTGAGGATTTTTTTTACCATTGACCTTGAGTTAATAAGTTGCAGAATCTAAAAGTTTTCTTAAAAATGCATTAATAATTCTATCTATAAATGGGGAGGTGTCAAGCGTTTTTCAGTTTAGAGTGAACTACACTGCTGAGCACATCAGTGTTGGGTCTTCAGATCTGTAAAGCCATTTACAGAGAAACAGAAAAAGGTACAGAGAATAAATAAATTTTTCTGGTTTAAAACCCTACATATTTTTTAAGTAACGTAAAAAAAAATTGCTGCCTCTTTCTGTACTTATGAAGCTACAAGAACAGAAACTACATAGCACAGCTGAAAGTAGTCATGTTTGATTACTGTGATCTACACATTTGTCAAACACCTGACAAGACTCAGAAGAATTTGGGTTTGGTCACATAAAATACATAAAAATTTACTGAAATAATAATGTTCACTAATATAATGCCCTAAAGGAATCATTAACCAAACCTCCTGTTACACAAATGCTGTTTCAGCATTTCTCTCTGACTGAAAAAAACATAAATGACAGAGGACAGCATAGCATCTATATATGATCTCAAGATCAGTTTTACCAGGAATTTGCTCTAGTTTTTCTTCTTTTACTTGCTATTGGTTGTGACATGCTCCCGAGTCCTTGACCAAACTCAGGCTCCGGAGGAGGAAAGGGCCTGCGCCGTGACCCTCCAAGGCCCTCCCTCCCCGACGTGTGCTGAGGGCAGGAGCAGTGGCGGCTCCTCGACGGCGCCGCGAGAGCTGTGGGCACCAGGCACCGCACATGGCTTCGCCACAAGCCAACCCCTTTATTCCATCCAGAGGGCAGCTGGCGAGCTGGGTGCCCCCCTCACACTGGGACACCCTTGAGGTTGCTCCTCGGGCAGAGGCCCCTCAGTGCAGAGCTTCAGGGAGGGACCCACACTGCAGGTAAGCTGGTGTGACAGTGCCCTCAGATCTCTTGGTAACTCTGAATCCTTGTTACGATCTTGGTGCCTCAGTGACAGAGTGACCCTTGCCATCAAACTTCGTGAAGCCACGCTTTTACAACATGGTATTTCAATAAAAGCACTTTTGCTGGTACCTTAGGCAGTGGCTCTTTGAGCAGACTGACTCACCCACCCCTGACACTGGTCAGTTAACAGAGCCTGCAGACGGCTGTGTTACATAAGAGGACAACACAAAAACATCGCATACATCACTTGCATTTAACATTAACCTGCTATTTTGTGATTCAACGGCCAGAGATACCAAGGTATGCATTAGTCATAAATAAGTCTAATAGTTTTAGATCAGTTTTCTTCCTAAAACAGCCTCCTGAAGATTTTAAATTCAACATAGCATCTCTTAACTTGCAGTACACTCGTATCCGACTGCCACATGACAAAACCTGGCAGCCAAGAAAATGTAAAGTGCAGTTCCCCAACACTGGTATTACACAACTTTGGTCTGGAGGTCCACATGACGTGCACTGCCCTGCCCAGGCACACTCAGATACACAATGCACCGATTTCTTATTAGAAGCCATACATTCCATTTCTGAACCACAGCATTATGCAGCAAAAAGAGTAAGCAAGCATTGTATTTTCAGACATGCTGAGTGACCTGTCAGGAGAACCCTAAAATAACACTTTGTGGGATGGGGGTGTTCACAAATACCACAGAACATCCCTGTTACAAAACCACCGAGGAACTGCATGACTGGGCCAAGACAGATGTGGGTGTAAATATATGTACCTTTATTTTCCTGCTGCACTCTTCCACCAGCAGTGTTGTGCCAAGGTAAGCGGATTGAAGTGCGTAAAGGAGCATTTCTCTGTCCGTCCAAATAACTCAGATCTTCCAGTTTGGTTGAACTTGTTGCTAAAGTATTAAAGGATTGAAGCTTATTTTTCTCATAACAGCGTAAGTTACAAAGATCATTATCATTTATTACAGTTCTTTCCTCAACATAGTACTTACAGGTAAGTTCTTCTAGACCATGGCCGCGGTTAAGTCATAAGATTTACAAAATGCTTTTCAGAAAAGTTCACTACAGATTTAGCTGGATTTTTGCCCCTTTAAGATGGCCCTCACATCTGCCTGAACCTCCCCACGTGGTAAACAGTTCTCATGTTAATATAGTTCCCTTTTTCACTATGACAACATCCGTATCAGTGAGGTCAGAAGTCTTAGGAGCAGGTTCTGATACTAGCTGCCAGTACACTATCTGTGAGGAAAAATTTCTATTCTTTTTGTATCAAATGCTACAGAATTATTGATAACATTTTAAATTTTGTTCAATTTTTAAACCAAAACAATAGCTACACAAAAGAACTGAAAATCCAGAGAACATACGTGTCGAGTTGTATCAGGGATATGTATTTTTTCACCAGAAATAAGCCAAATGAATATTCTCATTAAAAAAAAGCAGTTTTCAAAATCGGTAACAAATCCAAAATCTTCCATCTGTTGGGGGGACAACACAGCAGGGCACAAGCAATTCAGATTTCTGGAGTGCACTGACAACTTTCTGAAGCAGGTGACTGAGGAGCCACAAAGTAAAGAGGCTCAGGACCCGACAGCAGCAGGGAAGACAACACCGGAACAGAAACCTCCAGGGGCCACTGAAAACCCACTGCAGTCTGTGCTTCTCTAACACTTGCAAAACTCAGGTATTGTAAGTCCACGAGAATCCAAAGCTAAAATCTGGGGATCAGTATTTCAGACAGCTGTAAGAATAAAAGGGCACTTACTGCAGTCCTCTTTGGCAACAAAGCCATTTAGTTCAGAGTGAAATTCCCCAGAATTTATGCAGCAGAGCTATAATACCCCCGAAAATAAGGTGTTTGCTGCTTCCTCCTGTCATGTCCTAGAGTCAGCAAAACTAGTGTCCCTCTCCAAAAGGCACTAATTTTAAACGGACATGCAGATCAAGTACGTTGAAAAAACATGAATCCCACACACAAGCAGTACAATTGCTCCCAATGATAATCAAGCACAGAACACACGAGCCTGACATATAATGCAGAGTTGGAATACCACCTGCATCACATTCATGAACTAGGGAGTTTTCTTCAGGAAGAGAATAACGTAAGGCAGAAGGAAAAGCAGGACCCCAGTTTGGTTACGGTCCATCTCAGAACTTGAAAAGAGGAAGTGAGATGTAATAAAAGGGGAAGCAGGAACAGCAAAACGTAAGCCAGTGATTCCTAAAACAACATTCCTGCTTTTCTAGCAGGTACTGGAGGTGCGACAACTTCCAATCCCACATTCACCCAGGAAACATTTCTTCAGTCACCCTTAATTGCAGGGGCACTGAAGGTTAATTAGTTAATTTCCTGCACGTGTAGCATGAAGTATCCCGTTTTTAAAGAGAGGTATTTAGCACTGGCACTGAAAAGCCAGAAAAAAGTAATTTACAGCTTAAAAGCACACTAGATTTCCCAAAATTCTGTAGGCAAAATCTCTGCACTATCAGATACTGGAACATCTAAGATCAGGATATGGCATTTCCTTTGACATGGAACAATCTGCACAGAGCATTAACTTTTTGGTGTTATAAAACTACAGCTCAGCTCATTCAGCAGGAAAATTGCAGATAAATCAAGCTGTTCTCAAAGCAGACTCAGAAGTTGTTTCTAACATTTCTAATTCTATAAGTATGTAAAATAGATACAGACATGCAAACTCGTGACGCTTGCTTGCTGCTGTTCACTGTAAGACATTCACTTCTGTCCACAGGATGATTCTAATGAACAAACAGAGCAGAAGGCTGGAAACCTTTGTTCTGTGGTAACAGTGCTCTGATGGAGGACTGCGGACTCCCTCTCCCCCTGTGAAACTGGGCATTAGTGTTTCATATTGTCATACGGTGCCGCAAAATAATCCTTCAGCTGTGGAATTTTGAAACAATGTGATAATAATAACTTTCATGGTATTTTAGAACCTCAAATTACCTTTCTAAGACTGCAGTGTGTTTTAGTACCTTTCCTGACACTTCATGAAACATTCTAAATGTATGACGGTTTTTAAAGCATTGGATTTTGGCTATTACTGACAAGTCTTAAGCTCCTGATAACATTTACTGAGCTGCTTATTAGCATCTTTTCCTGTTGTAATTCCAATATATTAAAATTTGCTGGACTTTTCTGGAATAGACACATTATGTATTTCCTTTGAAAATGAAATGGCGAGTTTTTCCTTTTTTTTATCCCAGCTGAACCAACATGTTTGTGCCTTCACAATGAAAACAAAACTAGTGCTCATACTACCATCTATACCCCTTCAAAATGTAAAGTGGTATTGTCAGAACTTAAAGGAGTCACATAAAAATTGCTAGCACGTTCTTTCCCAAAATTTTGCCACTGACAATCACAAAAGTTGGTTTACTAGTAATAATTCCCCTATAACATACTAAGCAAATTCCATGCATCAATTTTTGTTTCATTTTTTATACTAAAAATTCTCCCTTTGACAGTATTTTCTAGCTGGAATGAAGTGTAATATCCTTCCTCTTCCTTCTAGGAATCAGCAGCTCCCAAGCCCTAACCTCGTTAGTGAAGTTTTCTGCAGTTAGTAAGTTTTTTAACTCTGAATTCTTAGTTAGTTAAACCTACCGCTGCAAATATGGTGCCCACGCTTCTGAACAACATCAGAACGTTTCTCTTGCAGGGTTATATTTACATAAGCAAATTGCCAATTACTGTTAGAATTTGATGGGCTCTACTATTAGATTTCAAGTCAGAAATGCTTTCTGCAGAGATTTGTCTATTTTACACTTCCAAAAGTAATGGTAAGGTCATGCACATATCTACCACAGCTGAACAGACTCACGTTTTCTGAAGGAATGGTTCAACTAGAAGGCAGAATTTAATACAGTTCTTTAAAGAATGCACGTCACTTGTTCAACAGAGATCAAAGTCTTAGCCAGATTTACTGATCTAGCAAATGTGAGCATACACCAAAAGCAAACACCTCAAGGATTAGTTGACACCAGATACAGTCCTAGAATGACTGATGGACTTTAAAGTGTTCCAGAAGCCCTGACCTAACCAATACCTACTAAAAGGCATGATATAAGCCCTCTATATGACAATGTTAAACAGCTTAGATAATGCTCATCTATTCAGTTTAGAACCTATGCTTTTCTCTTTTGTCCTATAAAAATACTTGCATAACAACAACATGACTTCAACAGGAAGATTCACCCCATCTTTAAGAACAACCTTTCTTCTGCCTCAGGACTTACCTGCAACAGAGTTTGGACGAGGCATTATTAAAGAGCCAGAACTTTGAGCATAAAGAATGGGACCCTCTCCTGTTGGCACTACTTTGGGCAAATTCTCAGCAGATCCAACAGCTTCCTCTTCTGCAACTGGTGAACAGTTGTCTGTTCTTCGATCATGACTAATCCCTTGATGTTTTCCAGCCCTGAGACTCCCATCCTTGCTCCATTCCAAACTGGATCCACTACGATCATCATTTTCTGATGAACTTGTTATAGTTGCTGAAAAAGAGAGAAACCCCCCCCACAACTAAAGTGCACATCAGAGGAAAATGGCACACTTGCATTAACATGCATTATAATTTTCATAATCAAAGGGCATTTCGGGCCAACAAACATTCAAGTATTTCTTCACTAGTCATTTTGTTACAGCTAAGGAATACTATTTATCTAAAAGAGAGGAATAACACAGCTTCTCAGACTGGGAAAAACACCTAAGAGAGGGGCAAGAAAATGTTCTGAAGAATCCAGGTGTATCTTTAGATCTATGTAATTTGTGCTGAGGGGGAAAAACACCCAAACCAACCACCATTTATGACCTTATATGAAGAATCTACTACTACACCAAAATGTCTCAGCTTCTTTTAAAAATTAAAATTCTATAATGTATCTTGCAAATTTTCAAACCCTTCTGCAAACATGGAGAGAACAAAAGCTCTACAGCCCTCCCCAGGCAGATCCCTGCTCCTCTGTGACCCCAGGGGGTACAGGGGGGCTCTGCTCCGCCAGCTCCCCCCTTCCTCCTCTTTCCTTCCCCACTGACCTCGGTGTCGGCAGAGGGGTCTTTCTCCTACCTCCCCCCCAGCAGCCCCCTCCTCCTCCCAGTCCCTTCCCGCAGCCGTTACCCCAGAGGCAGCCCCGTCACCCACTGCCCGGCCTTGGCCAGAGGCGGCTCCGACGCGGAGCTGGGGGAGCTCTGAGGAGCTTCTCACGGGGCCACTGCTGCACCCCCTCCCCTGCTACCAAACACCTGCCACACACACAGACCCAGCACAACCACTAACGGAGTGCAAACGCGCAGACTGCTCCTGGGAACTCTGGACCTCGGCCACTCAGAAGCAGCAACTATTCCACACCAAGCGTGCTGCAGGTCCAGCCCTGCGGAACGAGGAGGTGCTCATGCAGCTCTGCACTCTTCAGCTTAGCCTCACGCACACCAGAACTTTAAGATCTGATGCTTAAATTCAAGAGCTCGTATTCTAAGAAATACCAGTAATAAAATACACACCTTAGAGGCAATAGAAGAAAAAGCCTTTCAGGCATTCCATTAACCTTTGCACACAGCTTAAGACTGTACTTCTGTACGACAAATTTATTTCATTTTTATGGTTGTGTCAAAAAAATCTGGCTCCTCCTGAAGTATGAAATACTTAAAACTATGATTCCTCCTGGAGTGAAACGTAGCATCAGGAAATCTTGCGGCTCAAGATTTCCACACTGAAACAGTGGCAAGTATCCAGAAAAGCCTATGTTTTGGCCAGTAGCCCAGTCTGGTCTCCTACTTAGCTCATTGCTGGAGGTTAAAACCTGCCTCCACTACTATTATGTCAAACTCAACAGAAGCAAAGAGGAATTCAACTACAGCAGTAAAACATTAGAAAACTAGAAGAAACCTGAACCGTAAGTAAAAAAGAGTGGAAGAGAGAAAAAACAGATTTCCCATCAGTCTGCTGGCCCAGAAAACACCATGGGAGTGGAAATACAATGGAAGCCCACATAAGTAGCGTGAAAGAGCAAGCTATTCTCCTGGTTGAATGCACTCTGTCAAAGACATCAGAAAATATATACTTGCTAAACATCATTCAAAATGCACATTTACTACTAATAACAAGTTTGAATATACATTTGTATTTAAAATACAGAGCCACGGGCCATTTCTTAGAGAGGGGCCTCTTACTCCCTTCTTGGTTTGTGTGCCTCCACAGATGTAAGGGGTGCTGCACTGGGTTGCCAAGGGACAACGGGTGTTCCAATTCTCCCTGGATTTGAGACATGAATGACAGCTCCACAGCACTGCAGCAGATGATTTTCATACAGTCCCAGGATCATGAACCATGTATACTTGACTGAAGGAGCTCCCTCTTAACCTCCCATCTCCTCTAGGGTTCTTGCCCTCTGCTCTCACACTCATACGCTTCACAACTCCACCATCCTCTCTCCTCTCTGTACAATAAAGCATGCATTTTCATGTTTCTCCTATTTTTGAATTAGTTCAATAAGCAACTTTTATCACCGGGTTCAAAAATCTTTTCTTAAAAACATTAGTACTTATAAGGTTATACAATGGATAATGTAGTTGGCATGGTAATGTACTATTTTAAACCAAACATAAGACTAGTTCTGACCTCATGCAGAACACAGACTTGTAGAATATTTCAAGCTTGCCAAGCATGGGTAATAGGTTCGTATCAGTATCTACATTTGTCCATGTGAGAGACGGGAATCTCTCACTTAAGAACAGGTTTTAAAGATGGTCAAAGAACAGAGCTCCAGCCTGTTACCCTGTCTTTCCTGAAGGAGAGAAGGAACCTACTCCACTCCACAACCAACAGCTGCTTCTATAGTCTTGGATGAACTCTGCATTACTATGTTACTGCATTCCATGATACTGTAAATGTCTTTATTCCAAGACTTCATAAAGTATCTGCATGAGAAATACCTCTTCTGTGACATTAAACTGCAAATACAAAAGATATTGCATCCCTCCCTGAGCTGAAGTACCTCACTGAAGAGCTCAGTAAGGCTGGAAGTCTGTACTTAACAGAGAAACAGGAACCTTCTTCCTCCTCTATATCATGTACCAGAGAAGCAGTTTAGGGTATTAGTAATGCCAATTTTGATATTCACATTGATGCTACCCTCACTAATATTTAAAAACAAACAAAAAAGCATGCAAACCAACATGCAGTCCTTAATATTTTTTGCAAAGTCAAGGAAGTTTTCCAGTGCAGTACTCCTTTAAATCAATGAACAAACACATTGGTTTAATCTCCAAAATTAAGTACTGCAAACCAACATGCCTCCTCTTTTTGTAAAAGGCAAGCACTCACCACTTAGAGAAGCCTTAAAGGTCCAAAGTTTTTAAGAAACTGCCTAAGTTAAAAGTCCCTAGTAGTCAGCCTACACATCAGTTACAGAGCTAGTAAAAGCTTAAGCATATGCATTTATGAAGGTAGAAGTATCTTTGTAACCACAAACTATCTGGGAAGCCTATTTTGTTCTATTGGCACAAGTCTCCTAGATCCCGTGTCATTCAGAGACCTGATTTAAACTATTAAAAAAGCAAAACCCCTACAAAACATTTTAATCAGGGAGATGACTAAGGTATACTGACAGATAAATATTTTTTTGTAACAAAAGGCATTACTGTTTCTTCTAGTCATACTCTGCTGTATTTTTACACCAATGTACTCACTTTTACAACCATTTCTGTTTGTTTTATACTTGCTTGAGCATAATCAAGACAGGAAACCCTAAATTCTGACAAAACCTGCAACTAATTCACTCTATTCTCAAGTCAGGCAACGACTGAAATCTGAGCACCCAAGAACAACAATTCCGATATACCCTTCCCTTTGTATCGAAACGCTGATGCCATCTTAAAACTAGATCTTGCACAAAACTGACCATGAACAATGTTTTTGTATGGAAAGAGTTCACAAAGTCATTTTCTAAATGTGTTACACAGATGAGTCTTTTGACCCACGAGGAACATCTCTTTTAGGGTAGCCTATCATTAAAAATAATGTTATGTCATAACTTATAACTATTAATTACTTCATAATAAAATGCAAGAACATCTATAAAGTCAGAGTAAAGTGTTGTCAACTGTGTTATGAAAACATGTATTATCACTACTTCTTGGCAAGCACTACACCAATTATCTCGATGGTAGTATTCACAATGGCAGGCAGAGACCACTTTCACTTGGAATTCCTTCTATAAACAACAGTTGTCAGTAACAAAGTACTAAGCTCACAGTCAAAGAGGATGACACAACTAGGGCTTACTTTGTCAAATCTAGGCATTTAAGGTTTAGAATTGCTTCCCTTTTTCAGCCTCTCTAAATTTAGACCTGTACCAGGAAAACAAAGTAAGCAAAAGGCACACCCAACAACAGCAACTTTTCTAGCCAAAGAATGTCTGTCAAGTACGGAGGATTTGAAATGGGATCAGTGGGCAGCCTAAAATCGAACAGAACAACACGGAACAGCTCTTCAGATTTGTACTGTTAAGATTAATTTCTACTAATTGCATTACCAGTTAAGATGCTTACCTATAATTCCACTGTCCTTGCTCTCCAGGGTGGAGCTCGGGCTGCTGATGGTTCCACAGGGACTACCTTTGGTAGCTGCCATCTTGCCAATGCAGCTATTGAGAGTTGAGCAGGGACTATCGGTGCTGGGAGAGGTAGTGCTGCTTGTGAGGGTGGAGCAGGGGCTCACGCCTTGGCTGGCTGCTGTACACTGCAACAGGAGGGAAAACAAAGAGGTACTGCACAGGAGGGAGCACACTACTGTGCTGAACATCACAAACATCAGAACAAAGCAGAGAGCCCACTTTCCAAGAACAACTTCAAGAAGTGGAAGCTTTATCTTGATTTGGAACCTTAATGATGTGCTTTCAGATAAAAAGTGACTTTTGAGGTAAAAAGGGAATTTCGTAGTTCAGTTGAAGAGTTGCAGTGAGACAGACCTCTTCTCTATTAAACGTCTTACTGGATATCCCTCCCATCCAGCTCCAGTATTCATTCTTTGGGATAAAAGCACCAGAACTGCAGTCTTATTCACATTTCATCACCAATGAAACCCAAATTGATGCACTAAGATTTATGAGGCCTGGGACTAAAAGAGGGGAGAGGAAGGGGAAGAAAGAGAGATTGGTAGCTGGTGAGCAGTTTTGGTTAGCAGATGAGTTTCATACAGGTAGTGGCTGCTTGCTTCTCCACAGTTCCTCTACCCCCAAATGGCTGAGAAAGACTGTCAACTGGAAATGAACTTCCCAGGAAAAACAAACAAACGCCCCCCAAAGGCACGCTCCTAATTTTAACAAAGCACTGACATTTTCCAGTCACATAAATCACTGAGGATAGAAGGAAAAAAAGATCCTCCTAAATACTAAAATAAGGCAGAGAGAACCCTAGAAGCTATTCACATTCATAGCAGATTAAACTTAAACAAATGATGTCTTTTTTTTTTTAAGAATGCAAGATCAACTCACCATTTCAAAACAAACACACATGATATAAATAATCTACAATACTATTACCATATGTCTATTAAAATGGATTGTATTTGGTAAGTATCAAGTAACTGCAACTAGCAAACAGAGGAAATAACATCAGTCTTCTCAGAAACAGGATGAACATTAAATTTATTATTTTCCATTGTCTTACCATGATTTCATTTTTCTCTTCTATATGAGCAGAAGTTGGGATCCCTTCTCCCAGTAAAAAGCCCAATCTTGTCATCAATTCTTGTGCTGCAGGAGAACAGCTCGAGTCTTTATCAGGCTTTGCTTTGGAGTGGGGGGAAAAAAGGTGATGAAGATTAGAATCTTGTGTTTGGAAACTGTTACAAGAGGTAGAAAAAGTACAATCAAATGTAAACACCAGTTCTTCTGTCAGTAAGATACTTAACAGAGAAGCTAATGCCATCTAAGCTTTTTATCCATTAGACTTTACACTGTTGCTGGGTCTTGGATGCTCTGCATTATCTGCACACATCTCAGGGAGAAAAAAACTACCTGCCAGTCAAACCAGTAATGACTAAGTGCAACCAGTTCATCACTGGACTGATGATCGACGTCATTATTCTCCCAACAACAGCATTAAACTCAACACTGTCAAAGCTCAGCAGCAGACTGAAATTCTGTTGCAGTAATTTTTTGGTAAAGTTTTCTGTAATGTTAAAAACATGAAAAGTAGAGGTTAATAATACAGGTGGTTTTTAATCTCCAGTTAACACTACAACTAATACCATATGTTTTTGTGGTGCTTGCTGTGCAAAGGATGTGACACCAGTTCTAAAAGTCTCAGCTTTTCTGAGTCTTGTTTGCAAAAACATTTAATTTTATCAGCACAGTGCTTTAAGATGTCTTCTGGTGTCCAACAGATACAATGAGACAAAGTTCAAATGGAGGCAGCCTCCAACAAACTCCGCCCGTCAGAGATCTGCCCAGGGGAAACACCAGCTGTGGATGAGTCCCACAGCCAACACTTTCTGCCACTCTCCTCCTTTGATGCCAACGCTTTGGCATCACCTACCAAACTGTAACGCTCTCCCCTAGCAGAAACATTTATATAGGATTTATTTCTTTTGTCTATTAAAAAAAGAATAATATGTAGGCCTGCCTCATGCTCAGGTATAGTCAATTAATTAAGGAACATCATCTCTCAGAGTCAGGATTCTCAGCTGCGGAACTGCTGGCACCTGACCTGGCAAAGAGGCAAGAGGCAGGAGCACCCGTACAGCAACTTCCCAACCAGCACTTCTGGACATCATCCCCACACAAAGGGAAGACAGTAGGGACATCCAAACGGGTTTATCTGATTAAAACTTGGGAGACTTCACACAACAGAAGTTCATAATTGATAAGGAGTGTGTCAGAGGAAGAAAGGGAGAGAGATGTAGGTGCACAGACTTACTGATGAAGTTCAGAAGAGGACACAACAGCCTCTCAGACCAGTCTGAGCAAATGTCAGGCATAGTACCAAGTTCAGCTCAGCAACAGAGACAGAAGTCAAGAGTCTAAGATGTTCAACACAGCAAACACTGCTTAATCCTTAAACACTAGTGTTTAATTTTCACCTTCAGTAGTCTCACTGTCTGGGTGTACAACTTGAAGGAGGAGGATCATGGCAAGATGGTCCCCTTCAGACACAGGGGATGAGGACCACACGATTTCCCAGCTGGACATAAAACCTGAACGCCAGCACTGAGATGGCTGTGAAGATGGAGGCCCAAGAGGGACCAGGGTAACTACAACGTATTAAATAGGGCATACAGAAGATGATGGTGAAAACAATTGCGATGAGTTTTGTTTTCACTAGTAAGTATTAAAAACAAGGTGCTTTTCTAAAAAAAGAAAACACTGACTTTTAAAACTGTAGTTTCCTTTAAAACTGAAGCAAAAGGAAAACAAAAGTTGTTCAGTTGGAGCCTTGTCAGTTACATGCAATGACTCTAATGAGTCTGACTGAAAAATTAATTTACAAATGCAAGGCATACGAAATCAGCACATACAGCCACATACTAACACATGGGTCATTCTGCTCTGACTATGACATTTAATGTGAAAGCCACACTCTGTTATGCACTAGTCAAATTTAACAAACAGGAATCTTCCTACAAATACCAATTAACTCTAGGGAGGTAGCTTTTCCCAAGCTCTGCCAGCACAGGAGTCTACTGTTACCGCCTTCTTATGGAGCAAGCTTTTACAGAATTCTAAAACGAAGCATTGTACCCAGTGCAGAATTACACACTTGGAATCAATTTACATTAAAAACAAGTTCAGAAAAAATTCTAGTAGGCCTTTAGCAAATGTAGAAATCAACCACCCCTGGACATCATTCTGCCTGCAAGAACTGAGAGCTGAAAAGATCACATACCACAAGTGTGTTAAATCTGCACAACACCCTTACAGATAAAGAATCTTGCAGGCTCTTCTGTATCACTCCGGCTGAAATGAACAGCTATTCTACCACATAAAGCATCACCAACAGACTCTTACCGTTCTGACTGGGTTCTCCTTGCTCCGGTCCCTTCCTCAGCGGTAGAGCCGCCTCCCCTGGCACTCTGGGACTTTCCACATACTTGGGCTTCCTGACTGGACCTGCAACGGGAATGAGCTGGGCAGATCTCATTTTTTCCTGATGGACTGCAAGTTTGGCATGTGCAGCGCCTATCCTTGTGATGCAAAGGAAGTAGAGGAATTTATTTCTTACGTGCACAGCCGCTACCGTAAAGACCGGTGAGGTGCTGCACTCCTGCCCCGGTGAGGAACACCCCCTGCTTTGGGCGTCTGTAACACAACCCTGCCTGAAAACAAACCCATCTGCCTGCTGCCACAGACCTGGAAAAGTTTCCTGTGTATGTGAAGTGAGCGACACATTTGAACTCAGACAACTTCCACTGGGCCCTCGGTTCAGAGCTTTTATCTTCCATTATAACAGGAAGATAATTTTGCAATCAGCATCTCTGAAACTAGGAGAAAAAAAAGGGGTACAGGCAGACCGCAACATCAACACACTAAATAATTCAAACCCCAGAAGCTTTGTATTACCGTGCACTTTCTCCACTCTGACACTGCCCTGATGGCAGGGAATGGTGGAGATGAGCTCATACAACAAAAGAAACATTAGTGGCTCCTAATGGTTCTGGTTTCATTACACAGCAGCATTCCCAGTTCACCTACATACTCGGTGCAAACATACTACCTTCAGTATTTAGAAGAACTGTGTATTCACACGTGCACACTTTTCAAATATTAAATCGATTCACTCTTTACTCTCACGTTTAGCTTCATGCTTTGTTCCAGACTGTTCACGATTCTGTTTTTTGCTAAATACGGTTTAGTAGGAACCACCGGAAATGTTAACTACACAACTTATCTAACAGAAAGGGAACGATGCTGCCCTCTAAAGGTTACCCAAAAAAAAGTATATTGGTAGTGTCTCAGCAAAGTTCTGCTGGCATCACAAACACAGGGCAAAATTCTGATCTTAATTCAGCAACTGACAGTACTGGCAGTCAGACTGCTAGGCTCATGCACAATGTATCACAGAACTAAACCACCACCATATATTTATCCACATCCTGAAAAATACGTCAACAAAATTTTATATCAATAAAGGCATTTGCAACACTAAGAGTTTTGGAAAAACATGAGCAGGGAACCCTGCAAAGTTACACACTGGAAAGTTAAGATATTTAAATAGCATGGGGAATGGAAACGTCATCATCAGTGGTACTGAAAACTCAAACCCAAATTTTTGCCCTGAATTTTCATGAAGACAATCCCAATTTCTGTAATGTATGTTAACAAAACCACTTGAAACTTTCAGTTTTAGTGAGCCTGAGGGGATTCCAACGTTTGATCCAGCAAAAACGAAGGATTAGCTGGAAGTCCCTAGAAACACAGTTGCTGGCCTTAACAAAATACTAAACCAGAGGTATTTCTGTGGATTTCCCCAGCTTTAGCAATAGACAGTGATTTTCCCTTATTTAAATACAACCTCTAGTTAATTACAGAGCTACAATCTCAGGTTCTCGCTGTTATGTAACATCACTGTAGGAGCAAGAAAGGAAGTTTCCTCACTTGAAAATATGTCCAACATGCTTCAGCCAGCTGAATTTTAAATATGTACATTAGGCCACAGTGACAAAGCAGAAGAGAAAACCATTCTAGTAGCAGCATTCCGCTTTTGCATCTTACATGTTTGTGTATTACTCTTACTATTTTATTCACATTAATAATAAAGTCAGTCTCAAAAGCAAGCATGCAGAGCTTGGCATATTTCATGAAGAATATTTCTTGTGACACACTGCAAAATCCTGACCTTAAGAGTTACATGGTCACTTTAAAAAAAAATAAAAAATTCAAAGAACCTCAAAGTTGAATTCTAGTTGGATCTAGATGATATTTAAGGTTCCTTACAACTCAAACCATTCAATGAAAACTATTCATCTTAGTGTAATTAAACATCATGTAAGCACTACAAATGGAATCAGTTTGAAATATCGGCTGCCAGCAGAGGAAGGACTGGCGTTAGAACTGCTGCACCCTCTGGTGAAGCTCTTCCAGATCCTGGCACCAAAGGCTTCCCTGCACCCTTCCCTTCCACCCTGCCCATTCCAAGCGTCCTTACAGGAACCCGGGTGCCAGCCCAAGACTCTCTGTCACCACTGTACCTCCTCACATAATCTCGGTGCAGCTCGATTCCCCAGCCAGGTTCAGTTTCTCTTACTTCTCTCCTCTTACTTTCCTACCACATCCCACTCTTGCTCTCCCAGTACATTTCACTCTGCTGTCTCTGTAGAAAAGACACAGAGTAGGGTCTTGGTCTTCATCAGGAGCCTCTAAGCAGTACTAAAATCCTTAGGCACTAACAACTATCAGCACTACGCTATACAGCTTCCAAGGGACGTATTTTGCTTGTAACCCAGAATGAAGAGGGCATGCCAAAGTTCTCTGGGACATCCCACCCTGTTCGAAACCCACCGTATACCTAGGCTCTGACACCTGCAGACATACGAAGTGTCCCATCCCTCCCGCCGGCAGCAGTGCCAGGTGCCAGTGTAGTCTGACCACCACACAGACCCATTGCTCGTTTTCATGAGGACTTCCAGGCTGACGACCGCTTTTACAGCCGAGCTGCAGCTCTGGGTTCTGTCCTCGGGCTCCCCGGGCACACCCTGCCCTGCACCCCCCGCCTCTCCCCGCGGCACCACCCGCCCTTCCGGATCTTCCCCTCTCAGCCCAACACGGGAACGTGGCGATAACCCGATTTCTTACCTGAGAAATACTGGGCCAGGAACGCAAGTCATACATGGGCAGATGTTCGTATCTACCTAGAGACTGCGACATGATGACATTCTTTAGAGATCTAAAAGATCGTTTCGTTACCAACCATCACCAGAGGGTGCTCTTTCAATGCTGTTTTAACAGAAATAGGGAGCATTGGCCCTGGTGAAAAAGCAGCTAAAAATACATTCCTTTGAAACAAAATTGCATTCTTGAAGGGGACAATAGTCCAAATCTATCATTTGTAAGCATTTATAATTCGATGTATCAAGGTTGAACAACAAAAAGTAACCTTTCTAAAAGGCCCAGGGCACCATGTAGCAGCGGTGTAAAAGATCAGAATGGAAATACCTTCAGGATGTTGGTTGTGGGTTTTGTTTTTTTTTAACATTCATGCTTTAAGCTGTGGAGGAAACCCCTGTATTGAATTTTCTTCCTCGCAAACTAATGCGGAAGTGACTTACAGTCCTTGTAAATCTGATACACAACATTGCAATTACGAGGAAAATTCATGGTGAATTTATTTTCATGCACTCATCTAGAATAGGACACATGAATTAATCCATGGATGAAAAAGGACCCACTTAATCATGAACTGTATCTGCACAGTTGAAGCTCTTTTCCAGAAGTGTAAAATGGCTGAATCAGGTCTGATGAAAGATTCATCTGGGACAGGATTTTATCAGCAGCAAGCAGCAGAGAAGATAGGGACAACACACCTCCCCTGCACACTCTTCCCAACTTGTGTTAAGTGGCTTATTGCTTCTGGAGCCAGAACTGTTAACTTTCTATTTGAGAGTGCTAGATGGATTTTCCTCCCAAGAGTTTATCCTGGCCTTTCTTTACACAACGTGCACCATCCACAAGTTACCCCAACGCTGCACGAAGCAGCAATCATACTGTCTCCTTTTCCTACCGTTTGTCTTTCTTCCAGGCAGAAAAACACCAGCCAGATTTATTTAAGTAACTTCTCCTTCAGAGCCATTCCACACCTCTAGTCATACCTGCAGCCCTTCTCTAGCTCCTTCCTAGCTCTACTGTAGATTTGTAAAGTTGGTATCACCAGAGGGACACCAGTACCTTCCTGAGGGAGATGAACTACAGATTCATACAGTACCATAATGATGCTTTTTTTTTTTGTTTATATCTACTGATTTCCTATTAATTTTGAATGCTTTTTTTGACTGCAGAAGAGCTGATTTTGCACAGGATTATGTAAGTTGTGCCCTCTGACCTGGCCCTCCCTCCCAGCAGCGTTAGCTGAACGTGCACCCGCAGTGCCCCTGGGCCCGGCGCAGGACCCTGTGCTCAGCAGGTGATTGCCAGCCAGAGGAACCGCTTCCCAGTGCTCCCACAGCGCTGCGCAGAACCGACGCCTCGGGTGAAACCAGCTCTCTTACCTGGTCTCGGCTCAAGTATCAGGTATGCTGATTTTAATTAAAAGTTTTAATTAAATTTAAAGACTAACTAAAAGTTCTATTGCACGTTTATGGAAGACTCTCCCAGCAGCCACCTCTGGCACTCAGTGAGGTCTTTACAAGGAAAGCTGCTTCCCTTCTCTGTTCAAGCATGATGGTATCAATAATTTAAACCAGTAAACTTTTACCTTAAGGGCAGCAGCAGTATCTTTCCTTCACACCTTGAACTCCAACAACCAATTTTTAGGAACCTCCTAAGTATTTTCATTCTTTTAGTTGACCCTCTTAAATCAAGAGTACAATCAATTATTATCCCTTTAAGAACACCAACACTGGTTTAGCTGCACACCTGTAAGATTACCAATCCAAGCAATGTTCATTCTAAGCTTTACAGTAGAAGAAACTTAACTTACTGTGGCAGTTTTTCATTTACTGCTCCCCTTCCCAGAGTTGTCCTGCTGACAACTTTTTCCTTGTTCTGTTTGTTTCTGCTCTTTTATGTACCTCCTCCCCAATGAACTATTTCATTAAGCTTTTGACTCCAAATGAACTTGTCACTTGAGTTCTGCCAGTAATTTTAAGCTCCTCAGTAATTTAAGATATAGTTTCTCTCTTCCCTCCTTTTATAGTTACAGTTGAGGACTGAACTGGGGCCAGAAACACTGGTACTCTTCCAAGCTCTTCTCCCAAAGAAGCTCCCCCACCTCCTATGGAAATAATTAAGCCACAACGTCACTCACACTCGATTCTGCAAACGGGACTGTGCAGCTTGCCGTGCTCCAGGCAAAGCTCAGCTTGCTCTCCCATGGTCTTGCCTGCCTGTGTTTTACAAGGTTCTGGTGGCCGACCCACTTGCGGATGGATGGGCAGAAAAGCAGCTATGGCCCCACGTGCTCTGCAGCAAAGACGCCCCGTGGGTTGCCGTGCCTGTCCACTGCGACAGGACCACAACCAGCTCACAGCACTGACTGGTTGCCCAGCACACAGCAAGGATCAGGTCAGTCTCACGCCTGAAACCCCGCCTAGAGGGGCAGCGGATGAGAGAAACGCAACAGAATGAAAGAGGGGATGTCCGAGTTCAGGACAGCAGTTTCAAAGAGCTACCAAAACAAACAAGTCCTGTGCTGGTCCAGTGGGTCCCCAGACTGGTCATTTCCAAATCGGTTCTGAACAGACACTCTAACTTGCTAAATACTAAGGTATCTAAGTGCTTTTCTCAGTGAGATGACTCCAAACCTGAGACCTGATAATTACATTATTCATGACACAAATATGCCTACGATGGAACAAAACCTCTTAGTCTAAACAGACAGAACAAAGCCACCACACTCCCCATGGTACCTCTGTGGCCAAGCCATATACTGGCAAAAGCATCCTATTTTCTGAGTCATCTGGAGTACAAAACTACAGAGGTAAACAATATTCATAGGGAAAATCATTTCAAGCGTAACACCCTTTCCCTACCATTGCATTTTTAATTTAAAAAAAAAAAAAATTAGATAAACTCAAAAAACCCCTGAAGCAACCTAGAAGGTAAAACAGCGTTCAAAATTAGCAAACGTTCACACAAGTAAGAACATGCCTGACAAGAAGGGGGTGGGAAGTACTTTTCCATTGTTTTAAATTATAAACTGTTTCTGTTTGGATTTATACATCGCTTGAATGTAAATTTATAAACTGGCCTTATATTTTGTTGTTGTTGCTGGTTCTCATCCGGTACTACTGCCAAATGATATGGCAAATTACCAAAATTTACTAATGTTCAAAATGTCTGCAATACCTCAGTGCAAATAACTATGGGTTAACTACAACTTTTATTTTTAAATTTGTAACTCTGAAACACATTGTCAGGAAAATCTAACTGTTTTTAATTTACTAACCAGAATTTTTAACTGAAACTACGCAGACTCAATAAAAAGTTATGAAAAACTCGTCATTAAAACCTGGGCAGCATTACGGAATATACTCTTCAATCATCACCACTAAGTATACGTGTAGTATGTTGCTGCAGTCTGGTAGACACTAAATAGAATTTTATTTCAAGGAAGTTAATGCAAGTGTATCACTTTATATATCTATGACCATCAACATGCCTGGGTTACACAGCCAGAACTACAGGACAGAAACAAAGGCACAAGTGACGACATGTCAAGGGGCAGTCTCTTCCTCTGCTCTATGACACCGTCTCAAAGATTTTAAAAAATACTAATGACATGATTTACACTGAAAAATACATCTCATAAGTAGTTGCTTTGCCTTCACCTGTAAATTGAGGACTGAAATTAGAAATTTGTTAGATAACCTCATCCCCACATCTTAATTTCAGAATACTACTTTAACTTGCCCTGCAATCCTTTCTTCTTTCACCCACTGTGTCCTGAAAAATCTTTAACCTATTTGTAAGCTACTAAATCACAGTATTTTGAAATGAGCACATTAGCATATTCTCTCTTTTTACTACTCCTGCCCCAGGTGCTAGACAGATAATGTATATATACTGGTACAGAGATGCCAATGCATTCACAGCAGAGCATAATCTTAAGAAATCTTTTTCTTTGGCTATGTATCACACTGGAATGACCTTGAAGTCATTGTGAATATGGCTTTTCATTCAAAATTTAGCAAGTGTTACACAGCTTCTGCAAGAGAAACAGTTAGCAGCCTACCCTGCCTATAAAAACGTGTCACTAAACTGAATCGTGGAGCGGGCAGGTCGGTAAGGTGTTACCTCGAAGGTACCTACAATGCAGGGAAGTCTTCCCAACGGTAACAAAACAGAGTTAGATCCTGACCTTCCCTTAGGTCTTGAGAAAAAGTCCCATTTCCTTCTCCATTACAAGGACTTCACCCTATCTTTTAAAGTTGTTTAGCATACAAATCGCAGGTATTAAGAGACAAAACAACAAAATGCCATTCTGTGGCTCAGAATTCTTGACGTGAACTGTCAAAACCAACCCAAAATTATTTAAACATTAAGTGAGATTGTTATTTTTAAATTTTGAAAGGAAAAAGTACACACTGATAGGCAACTTAAACCAAGAATACTTTTTACAAATTGTATTTACAATCCCATTGCAATTCTCTGAGCAACATTTTTTCTTTAATTTTATGTAACATGCGTCACTAACCAAGACATTTGTCAGTGCTGACAAAAACGAACTTTTGACACGCTGTGTTCCTAGATCTTATAAACTTTACAACAAAGAACCTCAAAACTGTTGAGTGTCTCCAGAAGTAATCGGAATATGGACAATTTCACTCAACGCTCAGGGTCTGCCCTGAACAACCCCAAGTGATGCTAGAGTGTTGGAATGATTTATATGTACAGAATGCTGATAAAAGGGAACCAGATGGAGCACCTTATTTAGTGAGGCTCACGTACAAGTATGTGGTCATTATGAAGGACACAACCACTCCAAATTAATAGGTTTCTTGTCACAACTTCAGCAGCAATTTATCTATTAATACATTTATTTATGTAGATACAAGTAAACGAATTGTAAAAGCCACAAAAACCATTTATTCTTACGCAGTCACTAACATATGCATAAACTAACGTTTATGCAGCTGTATTCCACCCAACTGACACATTAATCATAAATAAGCAGGTTTAAACATACTGACATTTCAATACAGGTATTTACAACACCAATAATTCTTTGCCATATGAGGTAATATATTCTACTCAATCACCAATTACCTTTTTTGCTGGGACCACACAAAAAGCATTATCTGCTTGTGTTATTATTTCAAAAGATTAACGTCATTTTACTGTGTTTCTTTTCTGTAAAGCCTATCAAAAACTGAGTGAGAGGTCAAGGAAGGTTTTAGTTGCTCATGGCTTTCGTTTTACCTGGAGACTTTTTGTTTGATCTTGACTGCATCAGATAGGACTGGCGCGGCAGCAGAGGTGAAGACGGCAGCGACATTGAGACCCCTTTGGCCAAGTTCATTCTGTACGTGTCCTCAGAGCCTGGCTGAGTGCCAGGGGGAAGATCTGCATTCTGGCCAGATGTTGCTATAACCTGCAAGGCATTCTCTGCAGAGGAGTCACCTGATAAAAATAAAACGCCATCCGTTATGGGATACAGCACAATAAAGAGCACAGAGTTGCACTGAAATACAAGTATTTAACACAGGAAAACATCTTTGTCAGCAACAATTCAGTAGAGCTTGTCTCCCTGTGCACCTTCCACTGTAGAATCCAGATAGTGACTAGAAAAATTAAATGCACAAGTAAACGATATTTTATTTTACTGTAATAGAGACAGCAAGGGGAAGAAAAACCTCACTTTCAACAGAATGTTTTTCAGATTTCATCCTTAGACACAAAACCAAGCTTCCTACAAAGATAAAAGTACTTTTACAGCTGAAAAGGTATTTGGGGATCACTGTGATATCCAGAAAGTCAAGACCATCTGAAAATACTGTTTACTGAGCTAGTTAAAGGAGGAATTTAATTGGGTTATCCCTTACATTCACACAGAAGGTGGAGCACTAAAAGGTACACTCATAGATGTCCAGTCTAAACTTTATTTTTCTGTTTTAAAACTGAGAGGTCCAGTCACTTGCAATTTGAGAGCAGCAGTGATTTTCTGATCTATAGAAAAACCAAGCTATTGGTTCACACCGCACTGTGGCACATCAAAACAGGGAAATTTCTTGCTAGTGGAAGACATTCAAATTTCAGCCAAATCAAGAATACAATTTCAAAACAACAGAAAAATATATTGCTCACAGTAATGTTTCAAAGACAGCAGAAATACATACTGAAAGTGCTAGGTTTTCCTAGTCAGATGGCAGAGACACGAGCTGAAAAACAAAGGTTAACAACTAACTACAGCTTTTTTAATACCCAAGTTAGGGCACTGCTCAATAATTTACCTGAACTGTTGAAACTGAATTAATGTGACCAGAGTCAAAAAACTGCAAACCAAAACTGATGCAAAGAGGAAAGAGAATACCCGAACATTTCAGGCAAGTCCATGTGCAGCAAGCAGCATGGCTGAAGTGCTGGGACCCAAAGTACAACTAGAAGGAGGAGTAATGTCTTTCCAAATGTGAATCCCTCACGCCAGGCTTATTTTCTTACAGTAAGGAAACACTTCAGCTAAATGTGGCTCTACAAGATCCACATTTCTTGGTCGTTCTGCTGTCATCCAATTGTTGCCTTCAATTCTGAACAGCTGTTCTCCTACCACATTCCCCTGCAGGCAGCATTAACTGCATGCAATGAACTTCCACACTGTGTCAGGGGAACAAACCCAACCCTTTGAGAAAGTAAGAATATTTTTGTCAATTTAGAAGCGTGCATGGAAGGTAAGAACACCAAACATGCCTGAATGTTACTAATTCCCTATTTCCACAGATGCATGTATTTAAGATTATTTAGGGAGGTTTTCTACTCATACTCCTTTCCTCACAAGAACCACACAAGGTCTATGTGTAATAAATCACCTTGAATGCTAAACTAGATTCAAACTCTCCTTAGCCTCTCATAACCGTAAACTTATTCCTCTGAAACTGAACTACCACCTTTCAAAAGTTCTATTAAAACAAAATTCATAGTAATGATTTTAAGGAAAAAACTCTGGTTTCATCAAGTCAAAATGGAAATAAATGCTAAATAATTGTAACTTTGTATTAGTTTTGGAAGTCCACTGTAGCTATTATAGGAGTATAACTATTGGTTTAAAATCCTGAGAACTAGAAAAGCAGCTTCAATGTTTTAGCAATTCAGCTGTAACACACCATTCTTAAAAAGAAAGTACAGCCTAATTATATATTTAAAATAAAAAGACTGAGTATTTTAGGCACTATAATCACATATATGAGATTTATTTGAAACACCAAGATTATCTAAATTACTGAGTTTCTATTTGCTTTCAGTGGAAATCAAGAGGCTAAGGATTTCTTCTGTTCTTTTAGAAATTAAACTTCCACAATAGCTATTTTTAAACACAGATTTAAGATTAGGTATTATTTATTATTCAATACAGTACATGTGAGTTTGCTTTGTCAATTGGTGAAGAACACAGAGTGACTTATGATATTCCATTTTTTCCTTTGAACATAAGCAAAAAGCAAGGGAGTAGCACGGTAACACAGCTAACTACAATTAGAAAATACCGGCGCTCTTGTTAAGAATATTTTGCTAGATATGTTGCCAGGGTTGTAATTTTGAATTTGTGTAAGTACTGCAGCTGGGATGACAGTGAGGGGGTGCAAAAGACAAGAGTACAACAAACAACCTCCCTCCTCCCCCCTTCACAGCTAATAAGTGCACCCACAGTTCCTTAATACCTGTACTATGACATCAATCAATGTTTAATTCATTGTCGTCTTAGTAGAATTTTGAATTCATTTTAATTTACCCTCCTCTGTTGTGTATGAAACGTTACTCCATGAAAGAGAGCTAGATGGGGCTAAATACAATGGCATAACTCTAATCAATAAATTTAGATTATTTGATCATGACAGTAACTTGAAAGGTATTTTATAGTCTATATATACCACTGTATGTTAGGAATTTTTGTTACAGCAGTAGTCTGATTCTTCTTATTATATTTCCTGGCAGCACCACAGATCCTGCTGGGAGAGGTACAAAGATCAGGATTTCATGATGCGGATTCTAAGAGCGGTATGACTTAAAAAACAAAAATCCAGAACATATACTATAGAAATTCTCCTTTTCAATCAATTATTTTCCTAATTTTACAACATGCTTTTGCTTATTGTCACTCTCATGCCCATGCTGTTAAGATACAACAGCTCTTTTGTAAAACCACCTTGAGAAAATCCAGAGAGGGGCTTCAGCCTCTGTGGGCACGGTGCCCACGGGCTACGGGCGATGCTCAGGCACTAAGGGACGCTACAGGAGCAGAAGCAGCACGTTACAAGCCGAAGGTGGTTATTAGGGTGCTACGGAACAACAGAGAGCTGTCAGATACAAATCATCCCAGGCAAGCAGAAGGTGCCCAGCGGCTCCTCCAGGACAGTTCCAGCACAGGGGTAACTGGAGGCGGCACTGGCCAACAGACCGGCCGCATGTGCCCCTGTGCCGCAGGATCGAGGGGATCAACAGCACCTACACACCTCGTCCCTCCCTCACACCCCAGCCACAGGCACAAACGTGACCTTCTGTCACCCCTGTGACAGAAGTGAGTCACAGGAGAAAATCAGAGGCAGAGGCCCTCCATCCCCTGGTCCTGCGGGCTCTCCACATGGACCTACAAAACGTGTTATTCTTGCAGCGCGGCGGGAAGGGAGGTTCTGCATCCGCAGGAGCCATGTCATTTAGGGCGGGCTGCAGTTACATGACACATGTGACACTGTGGGATGGCAAGCTTCATTTTATATGCTTGTATCAGCCTTTCCTAAGTCTCTGAATCTATCCTGGACATTTAATTTATCCCACTCCTGCGTTTTCTGTTTTGTATAAATTGGGCTGATGATCAAATCTACACTCTTCATCCAACTTACAGCAAAATTCCAGTAAGATACTTGGTTCTACATATGTAACAAGACAGACACAAAATTAACAAGCTTGTGGGATCCACAAGGTAATACCATCATGCTTTCCACACAACAACTTGGTATTGGGGAAACTATTAATACTCGAAAAAATGTGTAATAGCTGTCAAAATACAATCTGTTACAATGCCCAAACATAACCAGATGCAACACAGCGATGCAAACAGAAAACCAAATTTGTTACTAACTTAAAGATTAGTAATTTCACATATTTTAGCTACCAGAAAAATACTTCAAATTTACATTGCATTTCTTGGTCTCTACCCCAATGTAAAACAGACAACCACCAGTTCTGGAATAGGAGGAAGATGACCTCTCATAAGCTTTTTAATAACATCAAACTAAAACATAAGGAAAGGTCCTGTGAAATCCCACTTTCTTATTTTTGAAACCTCCGAGTTGTACATCTTCCACTGCCAAGTAGCCTCTGGACAAAAAAGTTTCATAAGCATCAATCAACACCAGAGTTCTTATTCAGTGGTCAAAGTAACCATGGAAACAACTTAATAGCTTTAAAAACCACACACAAAAAGCTTTGAGAATGGAAATCAAATCCGAGTTTAGTTGCACCTAGGGATGCACTGAAAGGCATAATCTGATTAACAAAGTACTATTTTTTTTCCCCTTAAGACACGAAAAGATACAAGGATGGCTGACCAAAATAATGATTTTGTAGAGCCTAATAACCTAAAAGAGAACTTGAACTTTAAGATTAAACTAATCCTTCTATTGAATAGAGAGAGTAACTGAAATGAAAATCCTTACAGTGTATCTGTCAGTATTCAACATAATAAAACACATCTAATTCTTCATTCAGTGTAAGTTGCTTAGAAACCAGAAGAATACTAACTACTTCACCAAAAGATGTGTGAACTGCAGTCTGCTGCAGATGCTGGAATTCAGATTATTTTAACATAAATTGCCAGGGAACAGTTGCAAACTTTGCCCTTCCTAAACTTTGCACACATTTGGGGCAGGAGGCCAGAAGGTTGCAGAAACCTGGGTCCCACTGCTAACTGTCCTTAGAAGAGAGACGTCAACAGGTCCGGTCTAGGGCTATGGTTCTACCACGGCCCCTGCCAGCTTCCGCTGCCAGTCCTCTGAGAGCAACAGGCGGTGCAGATGTGAAAGAAACCCCTCCTCTCTACAGAGGGAGCACAACCAGCATAAGCCTGGTGCTGGCTCACTCTCAGCCTGCACACAACTGCTCCGTCTGCAACTGCCCCGACAGTTGTGTCAGCACAGAGCAACACTGACTGTCAGCCACCTGCGTCTCGCTGTGACCAGAGGCGGCCCAGGGAGGCTGCAGTCTCCATCTCTGAAGCCTCTCAAAGCTGGGCGGACGCTGGCCTGGGTTGTGTGGTAACTCCTGCAGTGACAGCCACCGCTGAACTCCGCAAAACAATGCGGAGTCATTACCAGAAAAGGCTTAAAAGGTGACCTTAAGAGGTGTAATTCCTTTGCTGCTTTAGAGCAAGCATAGCAGTCTGAGTTGAGATGGAATTAAATCACGATGACATG